ATCAAGAAAACCTCATATCAACCTCCCACTGAAAATTTCCCTAAACCCAAAACCTCTCGCTACTTTTACCAGGCAAAAAGTACAATTAAGACAAGACTCTCCAAGGAGTCTGCAGAGCAGTCGTCATAGAGCAGAGCAGTCGTCATATTTCAGATCTCAATCATACAGCACACTAGATTGCAAATTACAAAGATAATGAGGATATAACGAGACGAAAATAACTACCACTGGTATAGATACGAGGCTAACGAGGCTACTAACCAGCGTAAGGGCGGGAGGGTGGGTTATAGATTCAGATCTAGAAATGATTCGACTAGGTGGCAGGTCTGTGGACCTGCCACGAGATAAGGAGCAGATGACTCCTTACTGCATAATCCTTTACAAGTCTTGTCATAATCTTTAAATTTTGAAAATTGTATTTAAAAATTTTACATATTAAGACAAGACTCTCCAAGGAGTCTGCAGAGCAGTCGTCATAGGAGATAAGAGACATTAGGTGCGTCGGGAGCAAGGCTCTAGAACTCAGGGTTTTACCTTAGTAGGGAAGGACGGAATGGAATGGAGGAACTATATACCCTCACCTACTATTGTGGGGGAGGTTCCCAAGAAGAGAACAATGAAAGAAGTATCAGATGCGCGTAAGAATCGAGTGAGCAATAAGTTGCACAGTGATTGTCGCAAGAAATCGTCAGTAGCGATGAGGCGCCATCCATCTCGTAAGAGAACCTAAATAAAACCCCTTGGCAGTCGTTCGAGGATGTTAGTCGTTTATCCGACGACCGAGCACGTAAGTGATGAAGTCGGGAAGTTATGGTAACTAACCATAGTTGTTGAATTGAGCATAATGTCAACATTGTGCAATAACATCACGTCACTTCGATGTAGGGCGGGCCTTTCGCAGCATGACTACATTACTAAGTCGTATTTACCGTAGATCACGGTCGATGACGTATTGCTCACGTTAACATGTTGATGCACTGGTTGCATGGTATGCAAACGATGTTGCCTAGAGTATTAAGGCTGAAGACTAGTGACATGTTGCTGCAAAGGAGTTGTGAAGCACATACCAAACTTTGACGCATTTCCAATGTGTACAATGCATACAGCTTGTGTAACCAGCTTACAATCCGGTGCCCTTGATAGGGCATTCGTTGTCAATTAACAGCAAAACATGCAGTATCGAATTTAGCGCCTCTGTAAATACGGTAGCACTATGTGTTCAAGGTTCAATAGATGCAGGAGCCATGAAAAGGGGAACCAACGGTTAGTACGCAATGGAAAAACCATGCTATACGATATGGGAAATTTTATGAAACGTGAGCCATTACGACATGGAATATCATCAGTGAAGTGGGTGTGTGAGGGCAAGCAACCCGCCTCTCGACGAGATCCACCTTTTGTATAGACCAAAAGGTCCGAATCACATCAGCTATAAGGTTAGATGTGCGCATAGAAGCGACAACCAACCAAATATTTCCAATCCATCCTCCAGCATTATGCTCGTAACGTGCATGCTCAAGACACGAGTTTGTGTTAACAAAAGTGCAATGATGTTGACAGATCACACACCAGATCGATATCCTTCCCCTTTTGGTGGTGTGACTTCATAAAAAGACGAAAGACTTCAAGGTGAGGGGCTGTGAAATGGTCAATCCAAATGGGGTATACACGTCACAACGAGTCCGAAGAAATCAAGTACGTGTGCGCTATCCACATGGACTTTCATGTCCTGGTGGGTTTTTCTACAATGAATGTTCATGTATGATATGTGAATGTAAGAGGATCCTTGTGCATGTATCCAAGCGTGCTGTAAAAAAAACGGCTTGTGGCTCCCAACAAGAGCCTTCAATTAGCACATGGATATGGTCACACCAAGACGCTGGCATGGCTTGTCATACCGCGAAAGACTATGTCGTATACTGGAAATTGCTCCGAAATGCAGACCTTGCTAAAACCGAACGCTGAAAATCAGGGATTGAACATAAAAACGTTGAAAGTTCGACAATGATGACGCGTTTACGATAGGTCTCAAGGCGATGAGAATAGTTTTTTTTTTTTTTTTTTTTTTTTTGGAGTCGACAACTTTCTGTATAGCGCCAACTGAATGACAACAAGTACTCGACAATTGCGTAAACGATGTGCGCGTTTGCGTCACAGTCAGCCGACTCTCTTCAGCGCCATAATTGTGAGGAGTGGTGGTACGTCCGAGCGATAGCTTAGGAAGGGAGTGTTACCATTTACGGAAAAACACATCATAATGTTGAAATGGCAGCAAGGGTTGAATTGAACTCGACCACGTAGTTTTGGCAATTTCTGCATTAACGCGCCGAATAAATGAGAGATATGGTACCGTAGATGGCAAAATTACTTTGGAAATGCCTCATTATCACGGCCCTCAGGGTACCCGTACCCCCCCCCCCCCCCCCCCCCCCCCCCCCCCCCTGTTTTTTTTTTTTTTTTGGATGCGCGGTGATATCACCAGTTTTCAGCGTAAGTACGCATATGCTCGACAACAAAGTCGACACTATTGTCCAACCATTGCAAGTTTGCGATTTAGCCAGCAGAAAAATCCATCGCCGTAATTGAAACGGGTGTGCGTCCCGATAGAAGGTACGGTAGAAGCGTGTTAAGTGCTTCACATCCCATAATAGGGGAAGAACGCGTTACTAATTATTATGAGGCGTACAAATCCGGCATACCGCATATTAATTCAGACATAATGATGCACGCGGACGGCCTCTTATGCTGCACGACACAATACTGCAAGTGTCATGCTCTGGCCCTTACACTGAATCATAATCTTCTTTGGGCCTTGTCTTTTTTTTTTTTTTTTTAAGGCCATAATCTTATAGGCCACCACAATCTTTTAACACCAAATCAAGAGTTACACCAGTAACTGCAATTTCAGTTTGCACATAGCAGCGAGGGCAACTTCTCGTCCCTCATAGCTGTGGTAGCTGCTGTGTCGTCAGGCAGAGCAGCACCATCTCGATCTCGATAGCACCAGCAAATCACGCCACAACAGATGCGCTATTGAGGCAGCAGCAGCGACCGCACGCTAGCAGCGGCGATCGTGCACCAGCAATGGCGATCGCAGGCCAGCAAAGGCGATCGCGCGCCAGCAGCGCAGATCGTGCCCAGCAGCAGCAATCACGGAGTAGCTGCAGCGAACGCGAAGTAGCAGCGGCGATCGGGCAGCCGTAGCAGAAGCGATCGCGCAGCAGCAGAAGCGACCGCACAGGAACAGCGATCGCGCGGCAGCCGCAGCAGCAGCGATCGCACAGCAGTGGCGATCGCACAGCAGCAGCGATCGCACAGCAGCAGCGATCGCGAAGCAGGAGCAGCAGCGATTGCGCGGCAGCAGCAGCAGCAGCAGCGATCGCACGGCAGCGGCGATCGCACAGCAGCAGCGATCGCACAGCAGCGGCGATCGCACAGCAGCAGCGATCGCGAAGTAGCAGCAGCAGCAATCGCACAGTAGCAGCAACAGCGCACAGCAGCGGCAACATTGATCGCACAGCAGCAGCAGCAGCGGCGATCTCGCAGCTCCAGCAAGATTCGTGCGCAGCAGCAGTAGCGATCATGCATCAGCAGCAGATAACAGGATAGCAGTAGCGATAGGACACCCGCAACTGCAGCGGTCTTGCCACATGCCACCGTGAGTTTGTTCCAACCGCAACAGCAGCAGCCGTTGTCTCGCCATGCGCAGCGTAAGCAGCAGCGGCTCGTCTCATAGCAGCAGCAACCGTCCCGGCAGCAGCAGCAGTCATAGTCGCTGCAGCAGCATCGCCAGCTCCAAGAGGTCGCAACGACCGCAGCCGCCGAAACGAACACCTCCTATGCAGCAGTATCGAGGAAGATCGCCACTGGTAGAAGCAGCGGCAATATGTTCCGCGCAGTATGTTGCACGTAGATGTATCAGCAGTGTATATTATGATTTTGCCATACAAAAAAACGATTTTTGTACTTGCAATTGCAGAAACTTCCAGCAGATATCGCTTCATTCGTAGAAGCAGCATGTACGAAGCTCTCGTCATGTAAGGAGCAGATGACTCCTTACTGCATAATCCTTTACAAGTCTTGTCATAATCTTTAAATTTTGAAAATTGTATTTAAAATTTTTACATATCTTGATATGAGGTTTTCTTGATACGAGGATAGGAATACGCTCTTAGAGCACAGTATGAAAGGATGGGGATGAAGCTGCAGCAGGTTGCAAGTGGCAGCTAGCTTCTTGTGAGTATCCTGTGTCCTGCAGCTGGCACCGTGGGAAACTGAAATAATATTGCCCACAGGGCTATTGCTGCTGCTGCTGCTGCTGCTGCTGCTGCAGTCACATTCTACTTGGAAAGGTAAGCCTGAGCTAACAAATGCCTTCACCAAACGAAGAAGAGGTGCAAAGGTGTGGAGACGAGCCAAGGACATACAGTTCCACTCCACATATGTTGAGCCGAAGTAAGAATACCTTTCAGCAAGAATGAAAGGAAGAAAGAACCCACACGGATGGAAAATTGCGCCATTCCTATCCACCGATGGAGAAATCAGCCAATCAGGTGCACTTCTCCATAGGAAACAGGTGGTGAGCTGATGTCGCTTGATCCGTTGTTGTTCTATGCCATGTGCCATTGCAGCATCTTATGCCATGGCACATGACATAACAGCAATAAGCCCCCCACATACACTCCAGCTGCTGCTCTCCACGAGGGCAGACCTTGAGCCACAACACTGAACCGAGCCGTAAGGAAAACACCAAGTGGTGGCTGCATCGTCGCCACCGCTGCTGCTGCTGCTGCTGCTGCTGCTGCTAGCGCTGCTGCTAGCGCTGCTGCCATGGCTGCTGCTGGCCGCTGCTGCTGCTGCCGCCGCTGCTGCTGCTGCCACTGCTGCTGGCGCTGCGTAAATCTGACCTGCTTTGAGCAGATCCCACCTCGCGTCAGCCACCAAACCCCGAGACACGATTGACAAGGCGTGTTACACCACACATCCTCAGATCACGTCCCTTACTCTGGAACAGTCTCCATTCTACACATATCCCTCACCTCCCACTCACCACCTCCCACTCCCATCGTCCCACCACATATCCCCCCAGCAGCAGCAACTGCTGCTGCTCCTCCTCCTCCACTCCCCCTAAACCCGGCTGCAGCACCACCACCGCCACCCGCCCTCAATCCCCCTGCTGCCGCTTCCCCCCTGTTGGTACCCCACCCGCCGCACTCAAGCCCTCCAGCCTCCCCCAACTCCCCCAACCCTCTTAATCCCCCCAGCTCACCCGCGCCCCCCAGGTCCCCCAGTCCCCCTAGGGCTACAGCCAGCGCCAGCGTCGCGCGCGACTGTAGCGGCGCTGCTGTGCGCTTGCTGATGCCTCCCGCGGGGCGCCTGCCGGTTACGCCGCCAGGGACGGGGAAGGACGACGAGAGCGGAGGTAGCGACGACGAGAAAGGAGACGAGGAGGAGGAGGCAGCGCCCCGGGAGTGCGCGTGGGCGTCGGTGTGGACGTGCGCGTGTGCGTGCGGGCTGCTGCGCTGGCGCTGGTGCTGGCGGTGGCGGCGGTTGCGCGCGGAGAGGTGCAGCGCGCGCGTGTGCAGCGGCGTGCGGCGCAGCGGCTTGGCGAGTTCGCTCATGGAGCGGATGGCCGCCACGTCAGCGAGCGACGTGAAGGAGCGCGACTTGCCCCCTATGAACGCCGACAGCCCCTTCCTGCCATGCGCGCAGGGCCAAGGGGAAGGGGGAGAGAAGGGAAGGGGCGTGGGGAGAGACAAGGGGAGAGGCGAGGGAGCGAAGGGAGAGGAAAGAGGTGGTGGGAGGGGAGGGAAGAACTGAGTTGATGGTTATGAGCTGAAATGATTGAAGCAGGGATTGCGGGATTGTGCGAGGAAAGAGGGGGAGGGGGCGCGAATTGATTCTAAATGTGAAAAGGGGCAGGGAGCACGCAGCGATGCGCGTGCGTGAGAACTCGGAATTACGCTGTGAGAAACATAACATAATCCGACGACTTACTGTCTCGTAAGCCCAGCGCCAGAAGCACCGTCAACAGCACCAGCGGCAGCATCAGCAGAAGAAGCAGCAGAAGCAGAAGCAAGGGACGGCAGCTTGCGGCGGGGCAGCGGTTTAAACGTCGACTCCGCTTCCATGTCCGCCTCGCTATCCCTCTCCCCCCTCTCAATGCCGCTGCCGCTGCCGCTGCCGCCGCCCTCCGCGCCGTCACTTGCGACGCCCAGGCTGCTGCAGGAACGAGTGAGGGAGAGCGAGAGAGAGGACGATTCGACGGTCTGGAGAAACCCCGCTCCGCCGAAGCTCGCCACGGGCTGCGGACCGAACGTCCCCGCGCTCCTCCCCGCATCTTTCCCCGCACCTCGCCCCGCCATCCCGCCAGCGCCCGCGAGTTCCCCCCCGGCGCCCGCAGTGCCGCCAGGTCGTTCCGCGTAGAAGTGCCCGCCTATGGGCGCCTGGCGCTGTTCCGCCGATGGCGCAAAGGGCACCTCCGACTGCACTCGGCGCATCCCCTTCCGCGGCCCGCCTCCTTCCCCGCCCCAGTGTTCCGCCCATAGCTGCGCCTCCCCGCTGGCCCCGCTGCCGCCGCCGCTGCTCGTGCTGCAGCAGCAAACGCCGCCGCCGCCGCCGTTCCCGCATCCCCCGCCGCAACCGCCGCTGCTACAGCTGCCGGGGTCGGAGCCCATCTTGATAAGCCGCGGCTCCGCCTCTCCATCATGATCGTGCGGATGAATACAATTCGAAGGATTATCGTGCGGCGCGCGTGAGTGGCGGTGGTGAAGAGGGTTGAGATACTGCAAGTGACGAGGTGCGTGAAGAGTCGAAGGAGATACGAAGCCCTGGACGGGCGGAAAGGCGACGTGCGCGGTAGAGGCACTCGGCGCTCCAACGCCCAGTGCAGGCGGGGGCGCGGGGGAGGGGATATGCGGAATTGGGCCCTCGGAGCTCCAATTGAGGAGCGGAGTCCCATCGTGCTCAATTGGGGAAAACGGGGCTGCGCGGAAGTGGGGGGGCGGAGGTGGGTGCGGGTGAAGGCGCGCGAGCCGGTTGCGAGGCGATGCGGAGAGTTGAGGGGAGAAAGAGGCGTCGGAGGGCAAGAGAGAGGGCTGGCTCATGCATGCACGGAGATGCGGAGGTGAAGCGAAGGTATCGTCCGCGTGGTGCGGAATTGAGGAAGTGGGAGGGAGCAGAGACGAGAGGGGGGTTTGGGATTCGATCTTGAAGTGTGTTTCTGGCGGCGTGCTGAGAGGAAACTGCGGCAGCTGCGAGTGTGACTGTCGTGACGTTTCCTTGCGCTGTTGTTCTTGTTGTTGTTGTTGCTGCTGCTGCTGCTGTTGCTGCTGCTGCTGTTGCTGCTGCTGCTGTTGCTGCTCCCGCTGTCGCAGCTGCTGCTGCATGTGGACAGACAGCGCCGATAGCTGCTCGAGAAGTAACTCGTCCGACTCTGCCTGCTGCGGCCTGGTGGAAAGGTGCGCAAGACATCTTACCTCGGCGACACGCTCATTATCAGCCATGGCCGCCTTGCGAATGTAAACAATCCCGCAGAGGCTTAAAGCACAGGAGAGTTACTTTCGACTCGGTGTAGATAATCGCTGCGGCAATGGATGTCCCTGTCTTGTCGATGTCGAGCTGCAAGAGATTGCCTAGTGGTGGTGGAGGTGGTGGTGTTGGTGCGGTGAGCCTTGCTGCTGCTAGCGCAGGCGCCGGCGGACATGACCTTTGAAAAAAGACCTTGGAGGTGGTAAAAATGGGTCGTTTCCCAGAGTCACTTTCCAATCCAACCAACAGTGTGATGTTGAGGTGTACATGTATGTGAATGTAATCTTTTGTGCCATGGGCTGGGCAGATAGCGAAAGCTGGAAAGGCAGCCTGCCTGAGAAGCGTGAAGTAAAGTGCCCCCTCACAGTTCCACGCTTTCGGGCTGAAGGCATGGGGTGTGTGTAGCTTTATGGGGCTTTTGCTTCGGTTGGCTTCGCAATGAATGTGTTTCGAACTTGCCCGTCAAATCTCCGTCTTCTGCACCAAGTTGTTCGAAAGCGTAGTGTACACTCAGGTCATGATGCAGGTGGTACACTTGGTGCAGTGGGAAAGAGAACAAATAAGGCTGGATTGGTGTGAAGCGGGGTTTTGGGGGCCAGGGGGTTGTGGGGAGGGGAGCGGAAAAAGGGAAGTGAGGTTTGTGGGGGAGGAGGAGAACTCGGGAAGATTTGGTGGGGGTGTGTGATGTGAAGGTAGACACTGGTTGGGCTTTCCCTGTTCCCCGTTCCGTCCGCACCACTCACTCTCTCTGGGTGGGTGGGTGGGTGGGTGGGTGGGTGGTCTTGGGCGAACGTTATTGCGAAAGCGAGCGACGTGAATGTCGATGCTGGGGGGAGCTTCCGCGCTGGTTACCACGGAAAGTACAGCCACAGAAGCAGTTCCATTTGCAGCAGACAAATCGCTAGATTTTGCTGACAGAATGATGACTTGACAGCTGGTGTTCGAAGTTGTGGTGTCAAATGTCAGAGGTGACTTGGAGAGATGATGATTAGAAGAAATGTGACGTGGAAAACAGGTCCGCAAAGCTGATTGGGGGCAGTTGCATGGCTGAAAGTGTGCCTAAGCCTATCCCTCACTGAGCAAGTGGGAAAGCTGAAAAGTTTGTGGTGGGGGCAAAGTAATGGAGTGGACGTCAACTGTAGTCGAAAATTCAAAAAAAAAAAAAAAAAAAAAAAAAAAAAAAAAAAGGGCACACTGTAGTGCTATGAAGGGATTTGTTACAAGGTCATACAGTCTGTCAGAACCAAACTCGGTGTATTAAGTGTTACAGCTATGCTTAACTAAATCCGAAGTCATTAAAAGCAAGTCACCAGGAACAAAAAAATGCAGGTGTTGCCTAGAATTAACAGCGTTCATGCACGATATCCACAAGGAAAAAAACATTCTGTGACGATTAGATCAACTTTATTTCTGTTGACCACCCACCGTAGAGTTGGATTTATCATTAGTAGCTGAAGCGGTCCCATGTAACCAACCAGTGGCTGGTGCGACACTAGGGACAGCAGCAGGTGCCGAAGTAGCAGAAACAGATGCAGGAACAGCGGAAGCACTTGCTGCTGTGTTACCCGGCGCAGCCGCACCAATAACTGCAACTCTATCTTTGTTTGGGGCAGCAACAAACTCCAAGTCAAGAACGAGTCGCTTGCCCCCATCTCTTGTTTCATAATTTCTCACCAGCTTCTGCCCAACGATTACTCCACCTCGACCACCTTCCTTCCGACCGCCCCCTCCTCCTCTCCTTCCTCTTCCCCTAGACTCTCGACCCCCTCCACCACCACCACCGCCACCAGCAGCAGCAGCAGCAGCAGCAGCAGCCGAAGCAGCAGCAGCTGCATCATCTGATCGTCTTCTCACAGTTGCTCCTTGCTCAGTAAAGGCCTCTTGCACTGCTCCTCCTGCAGCAGGCACTCTGGCGGTGGGAGAAGGGGAAATTCTACCAGCAGCCCCGGCAGGCATGGGGGAGGGAGACGTCCTAACCCCAGGCACGGCACCAGAAGCAGCTACCTTGGCCGCTGCAGCTGCACCCTTCCCTGCCAGCCCCCTTGCTCCTGCTCCTGGAGCAGCAGCTGCTGCTGCTGCTGCTGCCGCTGCCGCTGCTGCTGCCGGCGCAGCACTTATGTCCGCCCCAAACAGAAGGCTTGGGCGGGGAGGGGTGGGGGAGAGGGAGGGCGCTGCTGCAGTCCTGGAAGCAGCGAGTGGAGGGGCAGAGTGGGTTGCACCCGTGGCACCTGCAGGGGGACGAGCTCCTGGTTCGTGGGGTTGAGTGGAAAAGATGGTTGATGCAAAGAGGGAGCTGTACTGCTTGCGAGACGCACTGTTGCCCGCTCCTGCTCCTGCTCCTGCAGTTCCCTCTGCTGCTCGTGCGCCTGCACCTGCTGCTGCTTCTACGGCTGTTGCTGCTGCTGTTCCCCCGCCTCCTCCTCCTCCTACTCCAGATGCTGGTGTTACCGCATGGGTGGCAGGAGAGGGAGAGGACCTGGAGAGGGGCAGTGGCGTAGGCATGCCAGCAGCAACGGCCATAGCCGCAGCTGCTGCCGCTGCAGCAGACGTGGAGTTGAGAGGAAAGGGCGAGGCGAGGTGCAGGCCAAGAGAAGAGGTCGAAGAGGCAAGGGAAGCAGCGAGGGTATGGCTGGGGAGGGAGGGTGGCAGGAGCGGGATGGAGGAGAGAATGGGCGGGCCTAGTGGCCAGGACGGGTCGTGCTGCTGGGCTGAGGTGGAAGAGGATGATGAGGGGAGGGGGTGGGATGTGAGGGAGGAGAGCGAGGAGTGGAGTGGTGGGAGCGGGATGCTATTGGGTGGGCGTGTGGAGGAGGCATGAGGGTGGGCTGAGGGCGGGAGAGCGTGTGAGGGAGCAGGGTGAGAGGAAGAGAGATGGGGAGGAGGAAGAGAAGTTGAGACAGGGCGGGCAGAAGAGAGAGCTGCTGCTGCTGTTGCTGCTGCCGAAGCAGGAATGCGGGTGGCCGTGGGTGGGGCGGGGGACGTGTGTGAAGGGGCTACCGCAGCAGAGTTGGCATTTGAAGCTGCCAGGGAGGTGGCCGAGGGAGAAGCAGAGTGGGGAGTGGGAGCAGGGGCACGCACGGGCACGTGGCCAGCAGGAGGGGCAGGGGTGCCAGCAGAGGCAGCGGAGGAGGTATTAGCGGTTGGCAAGTGAGGAATGGGCGGGGGCGGAGTGGCCGCGAGCGAGGGAGGGACTCGGAAGTTGGGCATGGCAGGCGGGTGGAGCCTGCTTGCTGCCGCCGCCGCCGCCGCCGCTGCTGGTGGTGGTGGTGGTAACATTGCTGCTCCTGCAGACTGCGTTGCTGCAGACTGGTATGATGCAAGTGGAGGGACTGGGGAGTGGTGAGAACGAGGAGGAAGAGGAGGAGGAGCAGGATGAGGGAGGGAGGAGGACCAGAGCGGAGCGGAATTGGTTGAAGCTTGGCGTGCAGCAGAGGGTGCAGGGGAGGGAGAGGAAGCAGCAGCGGATCCAACAGCTGCCACCGCTGCAGCAAGAGCAGCAGCAGAGGCAGCAGCGATCGCAGCAGCTTCAGGAGCAGGCACGAGGAAAGAGGAGAGGCAGGGGAAGGCAAGATCGGGGCCAGGAGGCTGTGGAGACGCAGAAACACCTGAGGCAGCACCTGCAGCAGCAGCAACGGTAGCTGCAGCAGCAGCAGCAGCAGAGGCAGAAGCACTGGCAGCGCTGTTTCCCACAGATGAACCATCCACATGACCAGGATAACTCTCCCTCTCTCCCCCCAACGTCCCATTTCCCACCTCCCCTTCATCCACCTCCATCCTCCCCTGTCCATATCCTCCTCCACTCTCTCCACCCATCTCATTCTCCTTCTCATGTCCTCTTCTGCTCTCTCCCCTCCCATACCCATTCACACCACCCGCCCCATCCTCCTCCCCTCCTCGTCTCCGCCTGCCTCTCCCTCTCCCCCCTCCCCCACTCGTTTTCCTTCTCTTCTCCGCAACCCCCCCTCCGTCTCCATCCCCTTCCCCCTCCCCTTCCCCTGCACCCTTTCGCTCCTCCCGTCCTCTCTTCACCCCAACCCCCATCCCTCCCCCAAGCTGTCCCCCAACGTTCTCCCGCACTCCCCCAGCAGTGCCAACATCCTCCCCCTCAGATAAGGAGGGGGGAGCGGGGAGGGGGAGGATGAGGTGGGGAGGGGGAGGGAGAACAGCAGCAGACTCCCACTCACTGAGAGCCCAGGGGGAGGGTGCATGTGGGGGAGGTAGCAGCTGGCCTAGCTGGGGCTCTGATTGGAGGAGGTCTGGAAGGGGCCTGTCTGGAGGACACGTGGCATCAGGTGATAGGCTGGTGGAGGGAGCAGGGAAACGGGAGTGTAGGGAGAATACAAGAGGGGGGGTGGGAGAGGGAGGGGAAAGGAGGGAGGGGGGAAGGGGGTGTTACGGAGAGGTTTACAGAAGGGGAGACGGTGGAAGTTGCGAATGACGACGGGGAGTTTGTTTAAGAAACTCTGAGAAAAGTTGTGATGATGTGTGAGAAAATGTGGGAGTGGTGGGTCGTGAGGTGACTTTTGAGTCGACTCCAAAATGACTTTTGAGTCGACTCAAGAATGTGGGAGTGGTGGGTCATGCACTGCACTGCATGCTGTCGTGTGCTGTGCCGTGCTGTGCTCTGTTGGTGGCTGACAGTGCTTTTGATATCCAGGCAGTTGGGGAAACTCCTCTCTGATACACTACGCTACGCTACGCAACGCAACGCAACGCAGCGCACAGCGCAACGCAACGCGACGCATTAGAATGTAGCGCAATGCCAGGCAGGGACTCACCCGGTCGAATCAGCATCAGCATGCAGGCACAGCAGCCTGTGCTGCACACGCACCCCTGCCTCCGCTGCTCTCCCTGGTCCTGCCCCCCCGCTCCCTGCTCCCCCTGCTGCCGCTGCCCCCCCTGCTTGCACGGCCCCCTGGGTGGTAGTGAAGCTGACAACAAGCGAGCCCGCATCGGGATGCGGCCATGCAGTGGCGGGCGAGGGGAAGCGCACGAGGTACCAGGCGGAGGGGGGCGATGGGCCCTCCGCCTGCTCGGGGCAGAGGCATACAGGATGGGCGGGTAGGGGGGAGTGGGGGAGGGAGGTGGGAGAGGGAGGGTGAGGGGAAGCGCACGAGGTACCAGGCGGAGGAGGGGGGCGATGGGCCCTCCGCCTGCTGGGGAGAGCGGCATGCAGGGTGGGCGGGACAGGGGGAGAGGAGTGGGGAGGGAGGGTGAGGGGAAGGGAGGGTGAAGCGAGAGGGAAAAGGGTGAGTTGGGAGAATAGGGGAAAAGGGAGGCGAGGGAGAGGGTTGGAGTAGGAAAAGAGGGAAGGGAGGGAGGGAAAGGAGGGACGGGATAAGGACGACAGGGGAGGGACACAAGACTGCGGGTGAAGGGATTGGGACAGGGGGGGGCATATTTCGAGGAGGCAACCAGAGCAGCAGCTTATGGTGTACCAGCAGACTGGATACGATACGATACAGCAGTATGCTGAAAGCCTTAATGCTTTCGATTCAACTTCAGAGCATGCAAGAGCTTGAATGAACGCCCTGCATGCACAACACAACGAACTATCACCACCACACTGCACTGCACTACTTGCAAACCAACCAACCCATCCACAGACGGATGGACCACTGCCACAACAAACCACTCGCTGTTCCTCATCCCCACTCCCTCCACTCCTGACTCCCACCACGCCCCCCACTCCCCTCCCTCCACTCTCCTCCTCCCTCCTCTCCCCCACTCTTCCTCCCACCCTCTCCCCATCTCACTCCCTTCCCCTCTCACCCCCCTTACTGCTTTCTCCAGCAGCAGGGTCTCTGCCTCGTCCCTGGTGACGGAGCCCATTATCCACAGGGGTGACAGCGACAGCCACGCGGGGCGCAGGTGTGGGCGCGAGAGAGCGAGCACGAGGGGGTAGAACCACCGCCACACACGCTCCCACTGCTCCCGCGTCACTGTGTCCCCGCACCCTGCCACTCGCTGCAGGTATTCCTTGTCCTGGGGGGACAGACGGAGGGACGGAGGGAGGGACGGACGGAGGGACGGAGGGACGGAGGGAGGGAGGGACGGAGGGACGGAGGCATCAAAACCGCAGCCGCACAATCAGCAGTGGTGGCACCAGCAGCGGCAGCGGCAGCTACACCAGCAGCAGCAGCAACCGCGAAAGCAAGCAGACCTTGAGAGTGAATCGTCTGGCGAGGCTGCCCAGGGACTGCAGCAGCGCTGCCTCCAGGTGCTGGCACGCCCTGCCCCATGCACCCGTGCCCGTGCCCGCCCCGCCAGCCATGGCCTGCCATATGCGCGCCTCCTCCCCCAGCAGCGCCCATGCCATGCCCACTTGGTCGCTGGCGGACGTTGGGGGATATGCAGAGGGCGGGGGAATGCAGAGGGTGGCGGATGCATGCCAGACATAGGGAATGGGTGAGAGCAGGGCAGCAGAGGGGGAACCAGGGGAGCAGGTGGATGGAGGGAGTGGGGGAGGGAGGTAGGCAGGAAAGGAGATGAGTAGTGATGATTAAGAAATGGAAGAAGGAGAAAGGCAGAATCTTGGTGGTAAGAGCTAGGCACTATCATTCCATTTCCATACGCCTGTCCCTCACGATTACTCTCGACTCTTCCCACTCTCATCTCAACCACGCCCTTCCCCTTTCACAACACGCAACTGAGGCAAGCCAGTCAAGCAAGTGAAGGCACTCACCCCTGGTGTCTGCACCCAGTGATCTCAGCGACCCTACTGCCCATGCGAGCCATTTCCTCTCGCCCCACGCGTCCCACCACAGCCTTAAGGAACTCTGCGCGCGCCCACGGCCCCTCCAGGCAGTACCGGAACACAGCTCGCATCGGCACACTCACCACCGCCCCTCGCTCCCCCCTCCCCTCTCCCTCTTCCGCCTCCGCACCACCACTCCCGCCTCCCCCTCCGCCTCCTCCTCCGCCTCCTCCTCCGCCTCCTCCTCCTCCTCCGCCTCCTCCTACCCCTCCTCCCTCTTCATCCGCACCCAGTTCCTTCTCGCCTCTCGTCCCCTCATTCGTCTCCCCAAGGCCCCTTCCCCTTTCTCCTTCCCCTTCCCCTTTTCCTTCCCCTTCCCCGTTCCCTACTTCTCCCTCCCATTCCCTTCCACCATCTTCCCATTCGGACCCACCGCCACCACCACCAGCAGCAGCAGCTCTGAGGTTAAAAGTCCCCACTCCCAGCACCAGACCTGCAAGCTCCTGGCCCACCGCCTCTGCACCTCGCTTGGTGAGACCAGTCGCATCCACAGGCAGCGAGCAGGCTTGCAGCGGCAGGGCACCGGGGAGGAACGGCAGGTATGACGGGTGCTGCGGCACACCCGCCAGGACAGACGACGGCATGAATGGGTACGCACCAGCGCTGCCAGAAGCAAGAGTGCCTGCAGTGGAGAGAGATGGCAGGAGAAAACCTGCCGCCGCTGCTGCTGCAGAGGCTAGTGATTCGGGAGTGAGAGCAAGAGGAGCGGATGCACCACCAGGAGCTACAGCAGCAGTTGCAGCAGATGGGTTTGCTGTTCTTTGCTGCCCCCCTGTTGTATTCCCCCTCACTCTCTCTCGCTCCCTCTCCACACCCACCTTCTCAGCACCACCAGTCCCCTTCTCTCCACCCACAGCCTCCCCACTCTCCTCACTCTCCGCCTTCGCCTCACCATTCAAATCTACACACGGCCGCTTCACACCCGCACGATTACCACCATCACCCTCACCTTCCCTCTTACCTCCTCCCCTTCCTCCCCCTTCATCTCCCCCTGCTCCCCCTGCTCCCCCTGCTCCCCCTGCTCCCCCTGCTCCCCCTGCTCCCCCTGCTCCCCCTGGAGCCCCTGCCCCTCCTCCTCCTGCTTGCCATCCCATACCCCTTGATCCTCCTCCTCCCGCTCCTCCCACTCCTCCCCCTCCCCCTCCCCCTCCCCGTCCTCCTCCTCCTCGCTCCTCACTCACACCTTTCCCCTCGCGACTCTCCCCGCCTGCGCTCCCGCCCTCGCTTCCTGCCGCAGCAACGTCCTTCGAATTTCCTGTCTGAGAACCAACCAGGCCACCAGCACCACCACCAGCACCCCCACCACCCCCAGAGGCAGCAGCAGCGGCAGAAGCAGCAGCAGCGGCAGAAGCAGCAGCAGCAGCGACAGCAGCAGCAGCAGCGGCAGGTGGCATGTGGAGGAAGGGCGCGGGGGCGAGGCCATAGGCAAAGAGAGAAGCAGCAGCAGCAGCAGCAGCGGAAGCAGCAGCGGCTGCAGCACCTGGGTCAGCGGAATTGGGTGGTCGGAAGAAGTAACTGTGCGGGGGAGTCGCTGGGTGCGGCAGGTGCATCATGTGATGGTGAAACCCAGGAGGCAGCAGCACTGACCCTCCAGGTCCTCCCGGCCCTCCTGCTCCTGCTCCTGCTGCTGCTGCTGCCGCTGCCGCTGCAGCGGCGGCTATCCCATGATGAGATGCCAAATGGGGGGGCAAGCTTGGTGGCAGCATGAGAGAGAAGGGAGACATGGAGGCCGGGAGGGTTGCTGCTCCCACACCAGTCATTGAAGCTGAGATCAGGGAGGATACAGCAGCGTCTGCAGCAGCAGTGGCGGCAGCTGAAGGGAGCGGCAGAGGAGGGAAGAGCGAGGAGAGCGGCGGCGGGGTGAGCCGGCCTGCAGTGGCAGCGGCAGCTGCAGCCATTGCAGCCGCTGCTGCAGGGGAGATGCTGGTGAGGTGAGTCAATCCAGACGCAGATGCTCCTGCTGCTGCAGCCCCAGCAGCAGCTGAGGAGATCGATCCAGTAGCAGTGGCAGCTGCAGCAGAAGAAGCGGCAGCAGCAGAAGCGGAAGCAGCAGCAGGAGCAGAAGGAGCACGAGCCGGCAGTCCAGCCTTGAAAGACGTATTCCCGAGCGCTGCTGCTGCCGCTGCAGCCATTGCAGCTGCTGCTTGGGAGACGGAGAGAGGGGCTGCTGAGGCGCTGGGCAGGGGAATGGCAGCAGGGTTCATGTTAGGGCTAGGAGTAGGGTTAGGAGTACTAAGGTGTGGACTAGCAGCGCGGTGTGATGAGGTTACAGCAGCAGTGGCAGGAGCAGAGGCAGAGGCAGAGGCAGGGGTAGAGGAAGAGGGAGGCGCAGAGGCAGAGGCAGCAGGGGGGGGGGAGGCGAGGGAGGGGAGATTTGGCGACAGCGGGGTGATGTCTTGTCGGGCTGAAGGCGCTCGAGCCAAGAGCTGAGGCGGGATGGGAGGGGGTGATGGGGACGTGAGTACCCTACGCTGCACCCCACTACCTGCTGCTCCTGCTACCCCCCCGCCTCGTCCTACTGCGCCTGCGGCAGCACCAGCTCCTGGAGACGTGGCTTGCTGCTGCTGCTGCTTATCCATTGCAGCCACCGTCACACCTCCCACCTGATTATTTGTAGAAGCAGCAGCAGCAGCTGCAGCTGTAGCGGAAGCACCAGCAATTGCAGTAGAAGCATCAGCAGCAGTAGATGGGGTGGAAGCAGAGGAGGGTGTGAAAAGAGGACGCACATTGGGATGAGGTGCTAGAGTGGGGAGACGGGGTGGCGTGGGGGAGGAGAGGGGTGTTACAGCAGATCCAGTAGAGCCAGCTTCCACTCCCCGTGCTCCTGCTTTTCCTATTCCTCCTGTTCCTCCTCCTCCTCCTCCTGCTCCTCCTCCTCCTCCTATTCCTCCTGCTGCTGCTAAAGCTGCACTGCCAGCACCCCTACCACTGGTACTTCCAGCAGCAGCGGCAGCGGCGGCAGCGACAGCAGCAGCGGCGGCAGCGTGGCTGGCAGGCAGGGAGGAGACCACAGCAGAGAGCTCCTCCTTGGTTGGTGGCGCTGCTTGCGATGCAGACCCGCCCGGGAGCAGCGGGAGGAGCGGGAGCAGCTGTGGAGAGTGCAGAGCAGCAGATGACAAAGCAAGCCGGCCACTGATGTTGCCGCCGCTGCTACTGCTGTTACTGTTGTGACCGGTGCCGCCTGCTCTTCCTCCCCCTGCCTTCTCCGCAGCACGCTTCTCCTTCTCCCTGTCTCGGACGCCCTTGCCCCCTGCGCCTCCCACCTCTCGTCTCTCCCCCAGCTTTTCTCTCATTCTAACACCACCTTCTCCTACCTTCTCCTTAGGCGCTTCTTCTTTTCCCGCAAAAGCTGCTGTTGCAGTAGTATGCTGACCTCCTGTCCTGGTTGCCGTTCCAGCTGCAACCCCGGCCTGAGACTTGGCTGCAGCCAGAACAGCAGTCATGGACATGGGCGCACGTGGCTTTCCACCTGAAACCACACCTGAACCAGCAGCACCTGAAGCATCACCTGAAGCACCGCCACGGGTGACAGGAGGAGCAGAAGCTGCTGCAGCAGCAGCAGACGCGGAAGAGGGTGGAGTGTGAGAGGGAGGAGGCGTGGATGCATCATGGGCGCCTTTGAGCCTCTTAGCAGCAGGCTCAACAGACACTGGATCGCCTGCTGCAGTGCTGCTGCCATTGCCACTCTTGTCGCCACCACCACTGCTGCCAGCATTGCCAGCATTGCCGGCACCGTTAGTAGGCCCCCCACCTGTAGCACCTTGCACTCCTGCCCCTCTGACTGCCTCCTTCGCTGCTCCTTCCCCTTCCCTATCCTCCCCGCTCACCGTCCCTGCTCCTGCCATTTTCTCCTTCCCCGCACCTGCTGGTCTGCTCCGCTTCTCCTGCTGCTCGTTCTCATCATCTCCTCCTGCACCTTCAACTCCACTACCACCACCACCACCACCAGCACCATCCCCAAGGCTACCGCCTGCTCTACCTGCCGTTTTGTGCTCCAAATCAACCCCTGCTTCACCAGCAGACTTCACACTACCGGCATTCCCCGAACGCATCGCCTGCTTTCCAGCCCCACTGGTACCTGCTCCCGCACTCACCCCTCCTCCCTCCTCCCTCCCTCCTTGCACTACCTTTGGTTGTGAAGCAGGCTCAGGGATCCCAACCACTTCTCCCGCTCCTGCTGCTGTTGCAATTGCTGATTGTGCAGCGGCAGTAGCGGCAGCGGCAGCAGCAGCACGGGCAAGTCCAGTGGGGGTCCTGGCATGAGCAGCTGCAGCAGCAGCTAGAGTGGCAGGGATTGTGGGTTGGGTTGGATGTACTGGGGCAGGTGCTTCACTACCAAACGACCCACCATTACCCCCTCCTCCTGGTAATCCTCCTCCTGCCCCTCCTCCTTCTCCTGCTCCTCCTCCTCCTCCTCCTCCTCCTCCTCCTCCTCCTCCTCCTCCTCCTCCTCCTCCTCCTCCTCCTCCTCCTCCTCCTCCTCCTACTCCTCCTCCTCCTCCTCCTCCTCCTCCTCCTCCTCCTCCTCCTCCTCCTCCTCCTCCTCCTCCTCCTCCTCCTCCTCCTCCTCCTCCTCCTCCTCCTCCTCCTACTCCTCCACTACCAATCAAACCTCCTCCGCCTCCTCCCCTTGTCCCACTTCCTGTTGTTGCTGTAGCAGCAGCGGAGGAAGGTCTAGAAGGGGCAGCGGAGGGCGGGCGAGGAGAGGCAGCAGAGAAAGGGAGAGTGGTGCGAGGGGAGGGGGAGGGGGAAGAGGAGGAGAGGGCGCGGCGGTCAGCAAGCAGAGAAGAGATGGTGGATAGGGTAGGCATGGGGGGAATCTCTCTTCCTGCAGTTGCAACTGCCACTGACGGTGGTGATGTTGCTGCTGGTGCTGGTGGTGCCGCCACTGCTGCTGCTGTTGTTACTGCTGGTGCTGCTGGTGCTTTAAATGGTGCTGCTGGTGCTTTTGATGGTGCTGCTGGTGCCTTCGATGCTGCTGCTGATGTTACTGCTGACGGTGCTGCTGGTGGCTTTGATGGTGCTGCTGCCAGTACTGCTGGTGGCTTTGATGGTGCTGCTGACGGTGCTGTAGGCAGCGCTGCCAGTGCTGCTGCTGCTGGTGCTGCTGCTGCAAGTGCTGCTGTTGGTGCTGCTGCTGGTGGCCCTGTTGCTGGTGGTGCTGTTGCTGGTGCTGGTGCTGCTGCTGCTGGTGCTGCTGACTGTGCTGCTGATGGTGATTTTGATGGTTCTTCTGCCGGTGCTGTCGGCAGCGCTGCTCGTGGTCCTGCTGATGTTACTTTTGATGGATCTGCTGGTGGTGCGCCTGATGGTGCAGCTGATGGTGCAACTGATGGTGCAACTGATGGTGCTGCAGGCGGTGCAGCCTTTGGCGATTCATTTTCAGTCACCACCACGGCTCCTCCACGAGCCGCTATTGCTGCTGTTCTTGCTTCTGCCCCTAAACCACCACCTACTACAGCACGCTCTGTGCTGCTGTTCCCTGCTGCGCCTGCTGCTCCATTCTTTCTCAACGCTGCTGCACCAGCCTCATTTGACTTCCCTGCTCCATCCTTATTCGACTCCACTGCACCCACACTTGCACTCCCCACCTGAGCCGAACCTGCTGCTGCAGCTGCCTTTCCTGTGCTCTCCGAGCCTTCCTTCGTGCCTGCTATTCCCACTGCTCCTGTTGCTGCTGCTGCTCCGGCCCTAGCAGTTTCTACGCCTGCTGGTGCCACATCTGCAGCTGCTGGTGCTGCTGTTTTGAGAGCTGTCTTGGAAGCAGCGCTTGTGCCAGAGGCCACTGGAGGCACAGGCACCACTGAGGCGCTAGCAGAGGCTGGAGAAGCAGAGGGAGCAGCAGGAGGAGCAGCAGAGGGAGTAACAGAGGGAGCAGCAGAGGGAGCAGCAGAGGGAGTGGCAGAGGGAGCAGCAGTGGGAGCAGCAGAGGGAGCAGCAGAGGAAGCAGCAGAGGGAGCAGCAGAGGGAGCAGCAGAGGGAGCAGCAGAGGGAGTGGCAGAGGGAGTGGCAGATGGAGCGGCAGAGGAAGCAGCAGAGGGAGAAGCAGAGGGAGTGGCAGAGGGAGTGGCAGAGGGAGTGGCAGAGGGAGCAGCAGATGGAACCACGTTAGAGGCCGAGGCAGGAGCAGAGGTAGAGGGCGTTCCAGAAGCACGGGCAGGGGCGGGGGCAGGGGCAGGAGCAGGAGCAGTAGCAGGAGCAGGAGCAGGAGCAGGAGCAGGAGCAGGAGCAGGGGCAGGGGCAGGAGCAGGAGCAGTAGCAGTAGCAGTAGCAGGAGCAGGAGCAGGAGCAGGAGCAGGAGCAGGAGCAGGAGCAGGAACAGCAGCAGGAACAGCAGCAGGAACAGGAGCAGTAGAACGATTAGCAGCCACAGCAGGAGCAGTGCGAGGAGTAGCAGCAGGCACAGAAGCAGGAGCAGATGGTGAAGAGGCCTGTTGAGCCTTGGCAGCACTGCTTGTCCCAGTATTGCCAGCTGCAGCACTGCCAGCTTTAGCTGCCGCGGAGGCAGAGCGAGGGCGCGCTGCAGCATGCTCCACTGGAGGGTTCTGTGATTGGGGCAGGAGGGCGACGAGAGAGATAGAGAGAAAAAGGGAGAAAAAGGCGAGGAAAAGAGCGGGGAAGGAGGAAGCGGGGGTGAACGGGGTGGGGGAGGGGGAGGGGAGAGGATTAGGAGAGAGGGTGGGAGGGATTAGGGAAGAGGAGGAAGTTGGGGTAAAACGAACGACCGCCATATACCTCTCACCCACCCCTCTTCGCTTCCATTCTCTCTTCCCAGCTGTCCTTCTCCAGTCCTCCCCTTCCCCCCCCCACCTCTGCCCGTCCTTCTCTCCCACCCAGCCCACCTCGGCATAATGAGTGGCGACATCTGCAGTGCGCAGCAGCGTCACATGGTGCACGAGCGCGCACACCCCTCCTCCTCCCCCTCCTCCCCCCCCTGCCCCTGCCCCTGTTGGACCATCACCGCCTGTCAGAAGCAGGGGGGTCGTCTCTGCAGCAGGTGCAGAGGCGTGGAGAGGGGCGGAGGAACCCGCTTGCTGTGCTGCCTGTGCGCGGTTGATGTACAGGCGAGCTACATGCGGGCGCACCTGGTGTGGATAGAGAGACAGGTGGGGGGAGGGGGTGGGGGTTGGGGGGAGGGAGAGGGGGGAGGAGAAGATATGGGATGGGATATGATGATTTGGGAGCGGGAAAGGAGGGAAAAGGGTGCTTTGCTTGGATGTCTGGAGGAATACGATGTAGCATGGCATGGGACAAAAGAAACGGATTTCTCGTGACGAGCAATCAAGAGAGGAATGAGGAAAACAGGCGATGAGGGGAATGGAGTGGGGATAGAGAGAGCAGAGGGAGACGGGGAGGGGAGCAGGGATGGAACGGCTCGAATTGGCATAGCATTTCTCTTCCTCCTCACCTCACATGCCACGTGTACCCACTCCCCCTCACCGCACGCCCTGTCTGCTGTCAGCACCATCCCTTCCCCCTTCCCCGCGTCCCCCTTCCCCGCGTCCCCCTTCCCTACGTCCCCCTTCCCCGCGTCCCCCTTCCCCGCGTCCCCCTTCCCCGCGTCCCCCTTCCCTGCGTCCCCCTTCCCCGCGTCTCCTTTCCCCGCGTCCCCCTTCCCCGCGTCCCCCTTCCCCGCGTCCCCCTTCCCCGCGTCCCCCTTCCCCGCGTCTCCTTTCCCCCCATCCCCTTTCCCCGGGGCCCCTTTCCCTGCGTCCCCTTTCCCCCCGTCCCTTTTCCCTCCACCCCCCTGTGACGCTGCTGCTGTTGTCGTCACGTCTAGCAGGCCGGGAGGCGGCACGGGATGCAAAGACAGTCGCTGGTCGGGACCCAGCGTAAGGAAGGGGAGTGTCGCTGGCGCATTGGGCCGACCCTGATCACGATGGGGGGAATTCATCGGGCGGGAAGCAGAAATATGCAGTTTAATGATTCTTCTGAACTCTCAGAAACTACGGGAAACACAGAGCGAAGGTTTTTCTGCCACTGTCAGCTTCGTGGGCAGCAGGCAGCAGACAGCACAGCAACCGCTCACTCACTTGGCGGATGACCACCCCACTTGGAGACTCAGGCGCTATACGCATCCAGAAACACAGAGTGAAGCCTCCACGAGACTGCGAATCCCCGGCCTCTACCAGCACAGACAGGCGATCCAAGGGAGTGGACTTCGGCTCAGCGGCAGCCGCAGCAGCAGCAACACGGTTAGACGGAGAAGCAGCCGCAGGGATGGGCGCTTCTGCACCAGCGGAAACCGCATGTGATGCAGACGCAGCGAGATTGGCTCCAGAAACTGCAGGGACTAAGGCACCAGGAGTAGGAGCAGCAGGAGCAGCAGGAGCGGAGGCGGGAGCAGGATCAGCCGCCGCATCCGCCACTGCCACGCGCGCGGGCGGTGGTGGTGCTGCTGGCTGCGCCATGGCAGCCGCAGCAGCAGCAGCAGCCGGAGCAGGCGCAGCGGCAGTTGCGGCGGGTATAGCGGCAACCACAAGCTACTGTATCGCTGCTGCTGCTGCTGCTGCTTCGCTTTTGTCGCGGAGCGCGCAAAGCCGCGGCTTTACCATGCGAGGGATACAGCGCGTGCTGTCGCAGCGGCGACAAGAGCCTCTAAGGTAAAGATGATGCGCTAAACACGAATAAGTGTGCGGTCAGTGAGATGGTTACGCTACAGTGTTACAAAACAACAACGGCGTGATAGGCGTTCAGTTGGAGGCTCCATGCGGTATAAGAGCATGATTCAGGTAAACAGGGGTCAAGAGAGATAGCCAGCGGTATTGGGAGTGGCCCCGGAGAGAAATTGATGCGGTTTCAGCAATTACAGTACGGAGTGCGAGTAGAGCTGAGCAGAGTACATTGCGGAAGGAGGGCTGCCTAGGGCGCTTGTACAATCATGAAGTGGCGATGCGAAACCGAAACTATTAGGTAGAGGAGATCAGAGGAGCCGAGATGACAGTCGGTAAGAAATTACGGAGTCCAATTTGTTGGACTGCGGTTGGCACTGATCTGGTTCATTCCTACAATTTGAGCTTTGGAAGCACTGCGGCTGAAATGCTGGCCAGCAACATTAGCGTAGATTGCAATTCTGTAGAGACAGTCTGTAGAGACAGGAAAGAAAAGGGAAAAAAACGACGGACTTTGTTCTTGATTTGCAAGGGAGGTGCTAGGTTACGAACGTGGAGACATTGCAGCGATTAACAGACATCGTGGGGCGAAGACAACCTGGATTAGGGTGTGGTGCAGGTCAGAATAATTGAACCACACACGTTCATGACGAAGCACATGCAACGCGGAAGACATCGCGCAGCTAGGCTGACGTATGAGCCTTACGACCCTACTCGAACGTAAATTAAAAGGACGGCACCAAATTAGTTCGGCATGCGTGAGATCTTATCTGGGAAGTCACACAATTAGCGAGGTCGAATAGTAAGAGTAACTCTATCGTAGTCTGACCCTCGGTTGGCTTGGAGGGAGTTAGGCTAGGAGGGAGCAAGCATGTATGCAGCAGGCACAGGGGGTTTGGTTTGGGCTCTGGGATGTTGGGGGCGGCACAGCAGCAGGTAGAGGGTGGAAGCGCGGAGATTTGAGGACGAGGGTCGCTCACTCTCGCTGCGTAGAACGTGGGGAGTGTGGCAAACGGGAAACGCGGGGGCTATGCGGTAGGATTTTGGACAGGTCAGCAGCATCACACGGCTGGCGGCGAGAGGAATTGAACACCTCGGCAATTGTCAAGTTATAACGATTTGGTTGAACTTGGCTGAAGACCAGTCTCTGATTGCTGGTTGTGCTTATAAGCTGTTGAGGGTTACGTGGCAACTGCCTGTTTGTTGGAACAATTTAGGGTTTTCAGATATGAAGGGAACATTATTGGGGACCCTGCGCTTTGACAGGAGCTTCACTCCTACTTGGGGACACTTTCCGCTCTTCCTACCCTCAGACAGGAGAGTTATTGCGACAACTCAGGAATCCGCTCCACGTTCATCCACGTGTCACAATTTCGCAACATTAGAAAATGTTTTGCACCCCACCTGACCCAAAACAACTAAAACCCAATCGGAAAGGGATGCGACTCGGGGAGGCATCAACCCTAAATAATGCCCCCTTTCCCATGTTTAGAGTTGATCCCTCCCGAAAATGGATCCAGGTCCCTAGGGGTATTATTTTTTTTGCCCCACAATTTTGACATCTCTTGAATTTGTGACACGTGGGTTAATTTGGAGCGAATTCCTGAGTTGTCGCAATAAGTTTCCTGCCTGAGGGGCATTATTGCGGAAAGTGTCCTCAACTATCGATGAAGTTCCCTCGAAAGCAAAGGTTCGCTAGTAGTACTCCCTTCATAGCTACTTACCCAACAATTTACGCCTGTCCACTTCTCCTCCAAACCCTCCCCTGTACAAATCAAACTGCTTGTTGAAGATGAAGCATGTAGGTACCAGGGCTAACTTTAGTAAAATGACCCGTCTGATGTCAAGACCGGGTCCTGGCTCCTTGTCTGATTGTCAGACGAAAGCTGTAACATTGTCTAGCTTTTCAGACGAATCCGAAATACTTGTCTGAGATTTCTGAGAAGATATAAAGCTAGCAAGCAATATACTATCCAAATATGAATAGGAGGTCATGTACCAGCCCTAATGGTCCAGCCTGTAGAAGAGGGAGTTGTGAAGATCGAGGTTGCCGGCTCGAATCTTGTCTCCTGCCTCTGCCAGGCAGGTGCATACATCCTTCGAGAGATTTGCCTTCAGACGAAAAAGACTCGATATCTGCAGTCTCAGACGAACTGTATAAGGCTGTCTGAGAAGTCAGATGAATAGAAAAAGCTTCTCTGAAAAACCAGACGAAACTAAACAGCATGTCTACGACATCAGATGAACCAGTAAAAATGTGTTCAGAATCCAGAAATTCAGACCAAAAATGTCTGATAAAGTAAGCCCTGGTAGGTACATTGAGTGCACTAAAATGAATCAAAGCAGAAGTGGAATCATCTCCACAACTTTAGCACACAATGTTCTTACATCTTGGGTAGCTGAAGGTGGCATACCATATAATGACAACTAAGACATCAATGCTACCATACAAACATTAGGATTGGCTTAGAAATCAGCGGATTGCCCTAGGGAACCTATGAACTTGACAGACCAGACACCGTAGTACGACATCAACTATCGACCTAACTTGCTGTGGAGACTGCAGAAAGAGCAACACTTCAAATCATGACAGCATCATACCCTGAGGATGGTCATGATGTTACACGGCTGACTGAGTGCCTGGCTCTGAGCCAGGAAATGACGACGACAAAACACCACTGACAGACGCGTGGACTGCAATTGAGAAACGACAACACAGGACGACAGACGAATGCACAAACTCTGCATGCGTGACCAATGACCGACCTCACATAGCGTTCAGCAAAGTCTTTTATTAGCACAAGTGCTGGGACTGGACTCAACCAAAGTTGAATCCGCCACTGGGGACCATGGGCTGACTTTCTCCAAAGGCGTACGTCTGCTGATTGGCATCTACTTGTGGTGCCAGCTGCTGATCCTCATCCTCGTCCAGGCCGAAGTACGTCTCCAGGATCTTGACAGCCTTTTCATAAATGTCGTTGTTCTGATGCGTCTGGAGGTTCTCAATCTTCTCCAAGCCTTCTGCTTCATCAATATACTGGGCGTACATGTTGATCCCTCCTGTGTGACCCAGCTCCTTCTCAGCCTCCCCAACCTTAAGGATGTTCTCCAACCCCTCAAGCGCCACCGTGACAATCCTTGCATCCGACGTCAACAGCAGATCACACAAGGGCTTGATGCAGCCTTGAGAGACAAGATACCTAAACGCACACAAACAAAGTCGTTTAGCAGGTGGCACACACAGAAACACACTACATGTCACACTCCAAAAAGGAAAGCACTTACTTGATTTGATCATGTGTACCGCCCGAAGTAGCATTGGAGATCGCCCATGCAGCCTCCTTCTTGATGTCGAACTCAGCAGTCTCAAGCAGATGCCGGAGAGGAGGGATTATGTTGGCGTCAATAACAGCCTGCACAGTCACTCGCCTCGTGAGAATCTGTCGCTTACCAGAGTCTCACAACGCATTCTCATACAAGATTATTACCTGAATCTGTTCCTTGTTCCCAGCAGTAATATTGGAGATTGTCCAGCAGGCCTCTTTCTTGATGCTCTTCTTATGGTTGGTGGTCAAGAGGGCTAGCAGGCACGGCAAGGCATTGTTGTTGATAATGGCCTGTGAAACATTCAATACAGAGCTTTTAGGAAAAGAAGAGACGTCACGACCATCTGAAATACAGAACCGAAGAACACGCACCTGCGTCTGATCATCGTCCCCGGTAACGATGTTGCCCACGGTGCGAAGGGCAGGGATGAGAACGGAAGGCGAAGGATGCCTGAAAAGGACGCGTTTCACCAGTGAAAACGGTGGAAAGGGTGACGAAAAAACAGATACCGAACGGATAAAAACATTCTTACAAGAGAAGCTCAACCAGCCTTCGGCACACATTAGCATCTATGACTGCCTGAATCTTGTCATTGGTGCCATCCGATAGGTATGACAAAGCCCAACAGGCATCCGTTAAGACCTCCTCGTCGGTGGAGTGAATAAGCCGCTCAAGTGCTGGGAGAGCAGGTTTGGACTGCAGGCACAGACTTCAGTGTTAGTATCTCGAAGCTACTTACAAGTTACGAATCGCATCCAGCACCTTGCCGTACCTGTTCAAAAGGAGGCTGGGGCTTTCCGCGGCAGAAGTTCGAAAGGGTCCACGTCGCGTTGCGAAGCATGGAAAGCTTCGAGTTCTCGTTCAATTGTGCAAGGAGCGGACCCATAGCGTTGTGGCTAAGAACCAAATCTCTGCACTTCGGCGAGTCTCCCGCGATGTTCCCCAGAGCCCAGACAGCCTGCAAACAGTAAAGTATGTCAAACTAGGTATACTGGGAACACGTCGATACATCAAACAGGGATCTCGAACAAAACATACCTGCTCCCGTACATCATCGCTGGGCGAACTGAGAAGCTGAACGAAAATAGGAACTGCGCCGTGCTCAATCACCACACGGGTGTGGTCTGAAGTACCAGAGGCAATGTTGGTCAAGGCCCACGCAGCCTCAAACTGTGACACGACGATGAAATCAAGGTGAGAAAACGGCATGGACCAGAAACAAATGAACTCGGCAATGGTGGAGTAGACAAACCTGAAGCTGGGGAAGGTCGTAATTCTGCAAAAACTGCGTGAACCGAGGGACGACCCCGGCTTTGATGACTTCCTCGATTGGGGGACTACGTTCTGTGCACATTTGAAGTAGCACGAGTTACACACAGCAGCTGATGTAACCGCAAGAAAACTAGGAAAAACTACGGGGACCGGGAGGACTTACCAATCGATAACAGCTTCCGAAACTGTGTGGTTGCTTCGACCTGCGTTTGCGGATCTTCTGACCATACGCCTTGAACCATGGCAGGAAGGCTTTCAAGCTGTGACCCACCGAACAGAAAAACGTCACCATTAGATCCCTGGAATGGTTTTACACGTCCTATATAGAGTAACATAGAATCAATGAAGGACAGATTTGACGTGTACGCGTTGACGCACCTTCTTCTCGACCGTAGCCACAGGAATCTTGGGAAGGTCTACTTGTGCTTGCATCCCCTCCTTGCGCTTCTTCAGCAAGCTTTCCTCCCTCTTACTCTTCCGAATTTCCACCATGTTGTCCTCACGGCGCCTACGTGCCTCATCAGCGCTAACAGCCTGCTTGTACGATGACTTCCTGGCCTCAGTACGAGCACTAGGACGGAGAGACATGGCGCCTGGACAAAAGATGGCCTCACAGTGACTGAAGGAGAATGGGGAACGGTAGAGAAAGAAACTAAATCCAACAGTGACATATGAACACAAGGGAAACCCCAAATTTCCCCACAGCAGGTCACCAGGTCTGAAGCCAAGCCGAACCTGTCAGAGATTTGGTGGAGTCGTTGTGCGAAAGGCGAAGTCCAACAGCACCCCGCCAAAACTTTGTCTGTCGGACACAGTTCCATCGAAAGCAAATCAGAGCGCGCCAGGTCAGGTACAAAACTTTTATTGCAGGAAGCATCTGAGGCTCGCATGTTGCTTCACCACCAATTTTGGCATCGCGGGCAACTTCAAATGTTGAGTGATCCCGCGTAACAGCTTGTGTCAGGCTTTGTGGTTGCCCACCAAGTTGTGTTGAATGTTTTCTCCACCCAACTTTTCCCAATTGCTCGAAAGCCCTCCTCCTCGCCCATCCTTGGGAACCTAACATACCAAACCAGCGACTACGTCTGGTGTTGTTATGCGTGCAAACTCACTTGTGAATACAGTAGATTGTTTTCGTAACGCATTCAGGAGTCGCGATGTGGGGATTTTTGCAAGCCGTATTACTTATCGTAAACTCTCTGGCAATCCTTAATGAAGAGCGCTTTCTAGTTCCTTGTAAGACCGCTGTTTTGTGTCTTTAATCTGTAAATTCTCCTCGCCCGCGCTTGACCTGACCTAATTTCACACATCGACGCTTTGAATCATAATTCCCAGGCGAACGCTATCAAAATCAGCTTTGTAGTGGAAGATCTTTCTCTGATGCTATCTTCTCTGTTGCTTTCAGACGGTTGGGGTTTCCAGGAGATGTCCAGTGGCAGAATATCCCCTTTGAAAGCGCAGATTATCGGTCTACTTCATGCAGTGCAATACCTACGAGGTAGGCAAAGCTTTGCTGCGATCCTTCTCGTGGTCGCTACTATCCGCTTACCAGTATTTCACCAGTCCATATCTTGGTTCATTCCTCCAGTCGTTCGTTGTATATGGATCTGCAAACTCCCTGACATTGTGGTCGATTTTGACTCCTCTGTGGGCCGGATTTGTGATCCGTTCTGATCTGTGAGTCTAATCTTTGTGCACCTTGCTTGCCCTCATCTTTGCTTCCTGCAGTGCCATTGATAGGTTTGAACGTCATCACAATAGTTTTCAAACTTCTTTTTGCTTGACCATGGCTTTCATGGTCTGATAGTTCAAAAGGGCTATGCTCACGTGTGGCTGGCCTGAAGCCCTTTTTACAGAGACAGGGACACTCGCCGAGTGCCTAGTGCAATGAGTTTCCTATTTGTACAGCAGAACGGAGACGTTGCAGCTGTAAGCCAAGTCGGCAGCTGTGTAGGAACCCCCAATACTGGCTACCTGTGGAATTTGAGATACGGGTGAGGGTGAAGCTACACTTGGCAAACTGCACAATTGCGAGCAACACTCTTTCGACATATCCATCACATCAGTAAAAGCTCACCTGTACACAACAGTCATGGTTGGTTTTCAGTTCATGCATGAATGTTGATGCTGGTGAATTGACCCTGGTGAGAGAGAAACCGGGCCAAGAACCCCCAAATTAGAGTGTGACCCTGGCACCCCAAATCCTTGCCAACCAACAAGTTGGCCTGCGGGTAGTGCACATTGCCTTACTCCAGTCCAGTGGGTCACTTCTAATCCATTCATTGGTATATTTGCATATTTATCATCATTCCAGTATAAAAAAATCGTTTTGGCCTACCGGAACAAATTTCACAAACAAAAAATCATTTTAGGCATTACAAACATACGGTACTAATAAGAAAAGGCTTGCAACCTCAAACAGGAAACCCATATGAATTTGCTCGTGAATAACCAACATCTGGAGACGAAAGGCACAAGCACTTTGCCGAGCAAACAAACAAATCGCAGCAAGCGATAACGCAGAGATATATATACACTAAACAAATAATTCTTCTAAGTTCGTCACAATGATCTGATGATTCGAGCAGCATCCACGCAATGAAGAGTGGCGAGGCGGACGACAGTGGAAGAGGGGAGGTCATGGCGCGAGGAGCGGAGCATAACCAAGTCCCTTTCCAGCTCCTCGAGGCACAGCTCCGCAGCTGCCTTGCGCTCCAGCCATGCAGTCCCTCCGCGCACACCCTGACAGAGAAGCACGCCGAAAGAAGACAAGAGTATTGGGTGGGGGTCGAGAGGAGGAAAGGCTTTGATGATGATGCCTGCAAGGCGTGCAAGGATGATGCATCCCATAACGAGTGTGGTCTCAGAGAGACACTTGCCAGTTTACTTATGCAACACGCAATTCGCTTGTGAAAGGTAACTTACTCGTGTGGGATGACCCATCATCGCCACCAACCCAATCCGCGCTCTCTCCACTACTGCAGCTCCCGCCGCCGCCAGGCTAGCCCCCGATACGGTGACAGCGGCGGTAGTCTGCTCAGCGCCGGACAACGAGCCCGCCGAGGAGGTTTGGCTGGCGCTGGGGAGATTCCGTGAAAGACGACCGCGCCGAGGGACGTTTTGCAGGACGTTGGCGAAGGCGGAGAGGAAGGCGGACATCGCGTGGGCGGAGGGGAAGACGGGCGTGGGCGGAAGGGACGCGAAGGCATAAGGCGCGGATTCGGGAGTCCCGGAGACTCGCGTGATCGACAAAGTAGCGGCTGCACCGGCGGCGGCGGCGTCGTCCTCGGTGATATCCGAGGCTGGGGAGAAGAATTGCACGGCTTGTGCTTTCGGCTCATCGCGCACGAGCTGAGTGAAGGAGTCTGGAGCACGGTCGGCGTCAACGTCGCTGGGAGGTGCGAGAACAGCGGGTCCGGCGGAGGCGGCGTGAGGCACTGTTGAGGCGTGGCGGTTCGGCGTCGATTCCGTTGTTAGCGCAGCGGTTTTAGCCGGAGGGGAGACGAATCGGGTGGTGGTGGTGGAAGGCGGGGGGAATGCAGGAAGTTGTTGCGCGGATTGGGAGTGCGGGTAGGAGGAGCCTTGTGCAGAGGCGAAAACGGGTGAGAGCGTCCAATGCGCTCTGCTGGCGTTGATCGCCATAACCGGCTGGGCGGGACTGTAGAGATAGCAGGCAGCCATTGGCGCACGACTCCAGTCCAGTGATCAGAGACTGTGTGAACTGCAAGTGAAAACGGTGAGAAATGCAAGAGGTCGCTTCTGAAAAGACGTTTCGGCGGTGCTCTTGAAGGCTCGAGTGAGGAGGGGAGGTGGGGAAAAGTTGAAAAGCTGGGTGGGTCACACAAAGCACGAAGTACCACGCTGCACCGTACTTCAACGAACCAGACGTTGTCCACAGCACAACATAGTGGAATGGTGTGATGTCATTTTTTAGTCTGAATGGAATTTGGCCAGCTTCAGGGAAGAATAGGGAGTGAGCTGCTGAAATGATGAGCCGAGTGGGAATAAACAGTGACAAGCTGTGAAATGCCTCTTCTGGCACGTGTCCGATTCATCCACAGCAACCAATTGTTGAACTAGGAATTCGCGATTTCTTCTGCATTCAGAGCGTCGGCGCCAGGAGGCGTGAAATCAGCCAGAAAAAGGGAATCAAAGGGGAGTTGTGGAGACGTTAGGTTCCGAACATCTAATATTTGAGTGCCACGTGGAAGGTGAGCAAAAGCAGATCACGTGGGATCTGCCACGCGAGGAACCAGCACAACCACGTCAATCATCGAGCGTGCTCTCTGATGTAAATTGCGGGCGACAAGGTCTTCAACGTATAGCCCGTTACCCTTCCGTTTCTCGAGACAGAAATTGTTAAAATGAGTGCCCTAAAGGCTACGCACTCCATATACACCACAACCAGGGACTAAAAACGGGCACACAAAAGGAACTACTATCAATCATGTCAGAGACACGATATGATTGCTTCCAACAATGCACAACAACCGAAACTTCTTTATCCAAGTCACCATGGTCTCCACAATGCTGCCGCTCGTGGTTTGACACGCTTGAGTAGTGTCTAATCAGGTCCGAGGAAAACATGGGGTCTTACATGCACCCGTAGTGGTGCTAACTCGAATGACACGTGCGCCACTTCAGACGTTCAGGTTCCCGATACTGCATCTATGTAGAGTGGAAAAGCTCCACGGAAACAAGAAGTTACAGGCTGTGTCAAATTCGTACATCTACTACATCATGCTTTCTTAGTAATTATTATATACCCATTATCTCTGTAGGCGATAATACCAGAAATTCAATAGATATTCTTTAACATTCTGAAGTATGGCTATGAACCCCTTTTTTCTGGAATATAATTCTGATGGAGCATTAGCTGAATTACCCAGCGTTGTGATATGGCATTGCACGGCCAATGAAAGCCTGCAAGATGTTTTACTTCAAGCTTAGGAGTTTATGGAATACATTTAGGGGGGTGTACTCCCCTCTGATGGCTCATCGCTGTTTGACTGTCGATAATTCTCCCTCCAACGGACTGTGCATTCACACGTGACGCGTCGTCTCTCCATCCCAACTGGTCGGTTCGGTCTTACGAACGCGGTTTTGACAACCTTGTCCGAGTCGCGACGATTTTACCGGCAGTACCAAACGGGGAGGATCAGAAAGGATGGAGTGGTGATTCGTGAAGCGGCGCTAATGCGGTTCGAGTGATGCGCGATGAGAGAAGGAATTGCGACACGCGTGGAATAGGGAGATTCTGGGGGTCTGGAGGGGATGGATGTATGGATGGATGGATGGAAAGGAAATCTTGACCATCCCCGCACAGAGTGGGTTTGGGCTGGGACTCGCAAGGGGGAAGACCATAGAGTGGGCTATCAAACATTGTGTTGCAGGATTTTGGAGTAGAAGTGGGTAGTAGGAACAGTTTACCATGACAAATTGGTTGGGGACTCCGGGGCTTTTGATTCTATGCTCGAGTCTGAGAGGCTCATGAGGTATATCATCGTCTCAAACGATAACTGACACAACTCGTAGCCAAGTAACTGTCGTCCCTATAGGTTACGGTCCCGTGCAGATCCGCTGATGTAGTCGCGTAGCAATACGGATTGATTCGAATCAGTACTTGCCAAGATGCAGTTTAGTGCGGCCGGATCTCGCGCTAAGCGGCAGGAACACTTTTCCTAGAGCTCGGAACTCTTTTCTTGTTCCTGTTTGTTACATTCTCGATCCCATAATCTGCGAATTACGCTTCTGATGGGTGCGACCGCGACAAAAGAGGCAGTCGCTGCGCACGCACCACCGTGCGATCCACTCAGTTGTCTCAATCGGAGGTGTCCGTTCGCAGAACCAACGAGCCGCGACGATTCTAATATTACGACTCGGTACGACTACGATTATGACACGTGGCGCGGTGCCCGACGACGGATCGGCTCCGGCCAAGGCGGCCGCCGAGGCGGCAGTGGCGGAAGAGGCAGCAGAGGCGGCTTAGGCGGCAAAGGCAGAAGGGGTGGGGGTAGGCGGAACGACAGCCTGGGGCCGAGGCTGTGCGATGTGGGTCGTGATGCTTTGGTGTGGCGGGACGATTCGGAGTCGTGCGTTGACCCAACGTGCTTCGGCAGGGTCTTGACGGGACCATTCACCCGCCGCCGTCCTTCGCCGCACATCAGCCGGCGCGATTCTTTCGTCGTCGGCTCGACGGACAAGGGCGCAATAGCAGGTGCGGGGAGCGGGGGCGGTGGCGCAGCCAGGCAGTCTCGGCGCAAGATTCTCGGGGACGGCAACGGATGCGAGAGGTGCGGTCTCTCCGGCTTCCATACCGCGGCAACGACTGCCACGGGAGCGCAGTCGGCGGAGAAAACGATGGGCGCAGCGATTGGCGGAAAGAAGGGCGGAGTGGTGGGCTGGAAGGTGGGCCGAGAACTGGAAGCAATCGTGCCGGAGACGGGTTTTGAGTCTGGGGGCGGAATGGCGGAGGAGAAAGCAACTCCAGGACTGAATGGTAGAGGAACTTGGCGCGGCGTTGACACGAGCAGCCAGCTGACCAATAGGAAGAGTATTATTGACGACGACCTTACTAAGCCCTGGGCGGGCCAGGGGGACGCGGGAGTTACCAGTGGGCGCAGCATAGGCCAGAGCAGCCGCGGAAGCAGCGGGAGAAGTAGCGGCAGCGGCAGCGGCATGTGCAGCAGCAGCAGTGCGCAGGACACCCCGGTCATACTCACTCGCGCCGCCTCCTCCCCCTCGCTCACCACTTGCTCTTTCCCCAATTCCTCCCCCTCCCCGCTCCCCTTTATCTCCGCCTCACCTCCGCGCTCCCCCTCGCCTTTCCCCTCTCCTCGCTGCCCTTCCCCATGCGCGCATTCCGCACGAACCCGGACTTCCCCGGAAGGGTTTTCTCCGCCGTCTCCGCCGTCCCCCCCGGGCGCGCAGCCGTCGTGTCTTGGCGCGTACCTTCTGCTGCCGAGAGCCTGCGGGCGCACGAAAAGCGCGGGGAGGCCCCCTTCAGGGGGGAGGGCGGGCGGAGCAGTGGCGGAGGCTCTCCCCCGGTGGCACGCGGGCGCGGCTGGACTTGACTCGAGGGGGGAAGGATCAGGCGGAAAGGGTCTGGCGGATGGGTGGAGGCTTGACGGGATTCAGAGAGTGGCGGGAGGCTGTTTTTCTGCGGAAAGACGAACGTTGGCGGAGGGCGGGAGTGGAGCAGAAGAACGCGGGAGAGGGGGAGGAGGTAGAAGTCCTCGGGACAGTCAGCGAGGCGAGTGGTTCGCTGGGCGACTTGTGGGTGAGAGTGTGCGATTTATGGGCGACCATGTGCGATCGCTGGGCGACAGCTGGGCAGGTCGCAGGGGTGGGAATGAGTTGAGAGCGAGCAGTCACGGAAGCGCGCAGCAGGCACAGCGACCGACCATTCCGTGCATTCCGGGCTATTCGCCGCCAATCGCGCTCACGTGTGATGCTGCCGCGACGCACCCAAAACCACCGCGCATCCCAGGGCTCTCATCGGCAGCAGAAGGTGTAGACGGTGGAGGCGGCGAAGGCGGAGGAAGAAGAGGAGGAGGAGGGAGGGGCGGAGGAAGAAGAAGAGCGAGAGGAGGTGGAGGAAGAGAGGTGAGAGGAGGAGAAGCTGTGGCAGCAGGAGGTGTGGCAACGCAAGGAGCAGTCCACTGGCCGTGGTATGAGAGGGGATGCAGCCGAGCGCTCGTACTACCTCCCTCGCCTTGCTACGGTTGTTTCTATCCGCGCTCAGATGGTGCATCTGGCTCTAGCAGTGGAGATCAATGGTCCGAATCAGCTCAGGGGCTCAGGCATGGCAGAACTGGCATGTCTGGGGAAGGGTGTGGTGCCGATGAGAACGCTTGGGAGGGCAGTGGGGAGGAGACGGATGAGGCGAGGCAGCAGGAAGAAGGGTGGGGAGAGGATGAGGGCGCGTGGGAGGCGGGGGGTGAGGAGGAGGAGGAGGAGGAGGAGGAAGCGGAAGCGGAGGAAGCAAAGGAATGGTGGATTCATCACCCTCGGCCGCAAACTCCCATGATGCTGCTAGAGTGGCAGGATCTGGTGGTGGGGGAGATGGGCGACGAGGAGAAGGAGGCTGCGGGGTTCTGGAGAAGTGGACGGGTGCTGGGTGGGGGTGCTGGTAGTGGCAGTGGATCGGGCCAGAGGAGGAGGGAAAGTGGGAGTGAATGGGGCGATGGAGCAGAGAGTTGGAGGGAAGGTAGCATGGAGTGTGACCTGGTTGAGGACAGAGGTGAGCTGCAAAGAGAGCAGTCACATGCTGCAGGGGAAGCAGCAGACATTGGTTTGCATAACAGAAACTCATGGTTGGTTGGGTCCACCCACTTGATTGGTCCGAGTTGACATGGAGCTATCATAAGAAAGGTCATCATGTGCCTGCCTGGCATAACTGTTCCTTTCTAGGTTGTACACGGCATGTGGGTGTGGTGTGCCATATGCATGGCGTAAGCTTGCTCCTGTCCCGTGGCCGTGGCCTTTATGTGGTGAAATAGCATGTAAGTAATCGAATTTGCCATCGTGAGCTTGACACTCCTGTAGCATCGTTACTTGTTGCTTGGAGACATTGGTTCGCACTTCACAGGAACCGACAAGAAAGTTCTGCACGTTCGTTCCCTTTGACAAGCAACCGATTTGTGTCGCTGGTGCCATGAATGGCAGTTGACGCGATCAGAGTAACCAACAAGTGCCTATTAACGAGAAAGCTCGGAAAACACACACACATACCACACACACGCATGCACGCACGTGTCAGTAGATTTGCACTGTGGATGCCCGATTGATCCTAGGGGGGGTTACAGGCGCGTTCGCCTGGGGGGTTATGGGCGCACAAATCCGCTACACAAACAAGCCATTTTATCCCAATGTTCTAAGTGGTTGGGATTCTGACAGCACGCAGGCACGCACACACACACACACACACACACACACAAACACACACACATGCACACACACACACACACACACACGCACGCACGCACACACATACACATACACACACACACACACACACGCATGTACGCACGCAGGCACACAGGCGCGCACACGCACACGCACGTACGCACGCACACGCACACACACACACACCCACACACACACACACATATACACACACACACACATACACACACACACGCGCGCACGCGCACGCGCACACACGCGCACACACACACACGCACACACACGCGCACACACAGACACACGCGTGCACACACACACACACACACACACACACACACACACTATACATATATGTAAGCACATATTGTTACAATTCCAAGTGGGACTTAGCGAAGGATCGCTCAGGGTTGATCGCAGAGTAGTATTGCAGCGGAAGTTTGAATCTCAGGTCAGAGTGAATGTAAATGAATGAGTTGATAATAGCATGCATACATCGAGTTTATATAAGAATACAAGGGAATACGAAAAGACCTAGACTAGCCATGTACTCTAAGGGGTACATTCCCTTATTGCAGCGAATTAAAACCGTGCGGCGCGGGAACCCGTTTCAAACCTGTTCCCGCTCTTTTCACTTCAAATGTTTCTGCCTGCATCGCTCTTGGTCAGACGGTTGCTGCGTCGCTTCGACTCTTCTGACTCCTCGACTTCGTACTCGGTAGAGTCGGCTCCTACAACATACAGGAATGCCTTCTCATGTAATTTCATATCGTAACACTCCCCTTCATTCCTGGGCGCAGGAGGAGCTGACTCGCTTGACTACTCCGGTGAGGTAAGAGCAGTGTTTGTACTGCTGACGTGACAGACGCTTGGTGAGGAAATCTGCTGCCATCTCAGTACTCGGGCAGTACGCGAGGTCAACTTTCCCCTGGTCAATTTCGTCCTTGACGAAGAAATAACGAAGCGCGATGTGCTTCGTGCGGTTCACGAAACCTGGCTTGTTCGCGATCCTGATGGCGCTCTGGTTGTCGCAGTGAAGACGAAAGGTGGGCGAAGTTGGAATTTTCGCTTCCTGTAACAGCTCCTGCAGGTACAGACCTTCGCGAACTGCTGCTGTTGCGGCGATGTATTCTGCTTCAGCTGATGACAGGGCAACCAACTCCTGCTTCTGTGAGTTCCAGGAGATTGGTCCTGTTGGTTCCTGGCGGAAAACGAAGCCGGTTCGGGACCGTCGATTTGCAGGGTTAGCGGCATGATCTGCGTCCACGTAGCCCTTGAGATTGAAGGAGGTCGTCGTCAGCGTGGAGTAGGAGAGCCCGATGTCAGGTGTGGAAATGAAGTACTGCAGGGCGCGCTCCAGGTCCAGCTGGTTCTCAGCTACTGGCTTGCGGGAGTACTGTGCCAGTTGGCTAGCGATGTACGAAAGGTCGGGTCGGCAGGTGACAGAGGTGAATAGCAGGCACCCCAATTTCTGCTGGTACATTTGGAGTCCTGCAGGTGAAAGAGGTTTGTTGTCCGGTTTGTGGTTGGCGCTGGGGTTACGGTAGGGAGTTGAGAGTGGTGCGGGCGAGATGTTGAAGCGTTCCCCCAGCTGCTCTGCGTACTTGGAGGCTGACAGGTGGATTGCTTCTGGCGCGTAGGTGATGTTCAGCCCCAGAAACTGCTTCACTCTGTGGTTGATGGTGATGTCAACGCGCTGCGCCAGGTTCTCCTCAAACTGGTGAAGGAGTTTGTTGCAGGTACCCGTGTACAGCAGGTCGTCAACGTAAACTGTCAGGAGGATGTAGTTGCCACTGAAGTGAAGGCGGTACATTCCCGGGTCGTGCGGCAGCTGCTTGAAGCCGATCTCCAGAAGGATTTTGTGGAGGTGCTGCTGCCAGAGGCGAGGCGCCTGTTTTATCCCGTACAGGGATTTCTTGAGTTGACAGACTCTGGGGTCTCCTTCTCCGTAGGTGTGTGGCTGCTCCACGAAGATGGTTGCATCCACTAACGCGTATAAGAATGCGTTCTTCACGTCGATCTGCCGCAGTGGCAGGTGCTTAGCGGCGGCTATGGCGAGTAGGATTCTGACGGAGGTGTGACGGCTGACGGGAGCGAAGGTTTGGTCGAAGTCGATGCCGTGGCGCTGATCGTACCCACGTACGACCCAGCGTGCCTTGAATCGCTCGATGGTGCCATCAGCGTTAGTCTTCAGGCGAAAGACCCATTTTCCGCTGAGTACCCTCCTCCCCTTCACTGCTGCACGATCGACCAGGACCCATGTGTCTCGAGACTCCAGCGCTTGTAGCTCCGCATCCATCGCGGCACGCCACTCCTTGGCGTGAGGGCCGGTCAGGGCCTGGCGAGGATTCTTGGGCTCCACGGCGCGCGCGAGAGTAGTGACTGACGTATACAGGCCGAGAAGTTGTAGGCCGGACACATTGGTGGAGTCTGTGGTGGTGGTGACTTCTACCACGTCGTCGTCTCCGCTCTCGTAGCCGGGCGCTGTGGTGCTTGGCTCAGCTTGGCGCCGTGACGGCCTTGGCGCGGGAGCATCGTCACTGTCATCGTCGTCGTCGTCGGCACGGGGGCGAGGCGGGACACTGGAGTGCTCGTCGGTATCATCGTGGTCCAGTGCTGCTGCTGCCGCTTCATCTTCTGGGGACGCGAAGCTGCGACCGCTGTTGACGTAGCCACGTGCTTCGTTGCGACGTCCGTCCTCGATCCACTGCTTCAAGGTGAGCCGCTCGTAGAAGAGAATATCACGTGCGGGAACAACCTCCTTGTTGTCAATGTCGAGAATGAGCCAGCCTTTGTGCTCGTGACTGAGCCCCAAATGAATTCCCCAGCGCGCGCGATGAGCGAACTTGCCAATTGTGGCTGAGGTCGGCCTGTACTGCACCATACACCCCCAAACCCTCAGCATGGAGGGGTCTCCCCTTGAGCCGGTCCACTTCATGTGAGGGGATAGGTTGTCCCTATTGGCGGTGGTGGAGAGGAGGTTGTGCAGGCGCACCGCGTGGTTCATGGCGTAGGGCCAAAGCTTCTTCGGCAGGCCGGACTGGTTCATGAGGGCGCGGACTTTTGTCATGAGGGTGCGATTAACCCTCTCTGCGACGCCTTGCTGTTGGTGAGCGTAGGGGAGAGAGATCTCATGCTTGATCCCCTTCTCGGTGAGAACACTCTCCAGTTCGTTGCTGCGAAATTCCTTGGCCCCGTCACTCTGCCAGATCTTTAGCTTCCTCCCCGATTGTCGTTGCGCATGTGCGAGCCAGATGCGGAGGACCTCTGGAGCCTTCGAGCGAGCATCAACGTTGGCAATCCAGACGTGGCGTGAGTAGGCGTCGATGAATGTGAGCGTGTATTTTTCACCATTGATGCCGTCGCAGGTGAGCACGATGAAGTCGCTGTACACCTTCTCCAGCTTCTTGTAGCGATTGGTGCTTGGTTCTAGAGATGGGTAGGCGCTGTGAGTGAGGGCAACTGTGGGGCAAACGGTGCAGGTGATTGGGCGTGAGGTGGTGTGTGGTTCTGTGCCATCGGGGCGCAGCAATGCTCCCGGGGGAAAAACCTTGGCGCGGAGACAGTTAGTAAGTGTCTGACGCGAGGGGTGGCCGAGTCGTTGATGCCAGAGGTCGTCTTCGGCGCGAATGCTGGAGGTGCGCATGTAGCGTGCGTGTTGTTCTGCTACTTCCGTCTCCGTTTCTTGCGGAATCTGGAGTGGGGGTTCTTCCTCTTCTCCTGGTTCTGCTTCGTTGTCCGGCTCCTCTGCTCCCGTCGTTGCCTCCCCTTCTGCAGGTGCCGTCGTGAGATAGAGTGCGAGAATTTCGCGATCGGGGATAATGTTGAGCGGAGTCGTCGTGCCTTCGATGAAGCGGGCAAATGGGTCTGGGCGTGAGGTTGGCCCAAGAGAGTCACGCGGGGGAGTTGGTGGCACGTTCCCCTCCTCAATCTCTGACCAGGAGCTGGTCCAGCGCCATGGTGGTGAGCTTGGGGGAGAGTGAGTGCGCGGGGGCCTTCCGAGCGGAACAGCGACTCGTGGGGATTGTTCTCCGCGCTCAGCCTTCATTTCCCGTTCTATCTCTTCTTCTTCTTCTTTGGTGAGCGGAGCATCCGCGTATTCGTCTCCCCATCCGCCGGTGTCGCCCCATCCGCCTGTGTTGCCCCATCCGCCTCTGTTCACTGTGTCGGATGCGCCGGTTGCGGATCCCCATGTTGCACCTTCCTCTGGTATGTAGTCATCGTCTCCCCATGCACCTCGTCGTGCCGACTCCTCGTCCCATCCGGCCGCGACGCGCTCTTCATACAGCTTTTGTTTCTTTTCTGCCTCTGCTTGATTTTCCTCCTCCTTGACGCTCAGCTCTTCTTTTGCGTCAGGGTCCTTCCACCCTTTGTCGATCTCCTTGCGGTAGATGTCGCGGGTGTATGGGCGTGGGCGTCCTTCCTCGTCGAAGGTTCCAGTGTTTGCCTCTGGGATCCATCGGAGGGTTTCTGTGCGGGGCGTTGGGCGTGCTTGTCGCCGTTGACCAAGCCGTTCGTTTTCTTCGCCGAAGATGCGGTGAGTAGTCACGGCGAGTTCCATCTCGGTCATGCCCGTAGGTTCTGCCTCGGCGCTTTCCGCTTCCTGAATTGCCGCATAATCTCTCTTCACTTGTTCTGTGCGGCTTGCCGTGGGTGTGTGGCAGGTGGTGCAGAGACCGTTGATGTCGGGCTCGTGGAGGTTGATCTCACGGGGATGAGGGCTGCGGCGAATCCACGGCCTTCCGTCTGGGTGCTGCCATGACTCTTTGTTCATGTAGGGGAAGTCGAGGGGGACGAGATACACGAGCTCGTCGGATGAGGCCTGACAGCTCGGAATGTCGAAGTCCAGAACGTAGATGCCGTTGATCGAGCGAGCTCGTCCCAGGTATTTGTGCAATTCGGGGGGTGTGTCCGGAGGAGCAAAGGTGAGGATGAGATCGCGCGTATCGGGATCCGTGGCGAGCATGACCCCGCAGTCTCGGAGTTGCCCTGCTGATAGTAGGTTGAATCGGAGATCCGGGACGTAGAGCACGTCGTTGAACGAAATGTGTGTGTTACTGTCCCGTGCTTGCAGGACCACGATCCCTTGCGCGTTTGCGCGCAGCTGTTTGTTGTTTGCGACGGTGACGCGGGTGGCGGGGGCGCGGCTGAGGTTCGAGACGTATCGCACAGACCCCACCATGTGCTGTCCGCAACAGCTGTCCAAGTACCAGGTGTTGTAGTTGTCAGTGTCATTGTTGTGCAGGAGTAGGGCGAGCCGCGGAGTCACCAGTGTCGCCTTGTAGTTTCTGTGAAAGGATGGGTCTTCGTCTTCTTTCCATCCCACGGGTACGTAGTGCTGGTTGTCATGAGGCGGGCTTTCCCGCAGTGTCATTGGCTGATGCCAATCTTGCTCGTCTTCGTCATAGCCGTAGTCGTGATCTTCTGTGAGAGGGTTGTTCCACCCATCTTCAGGTTGCATGAGCTCACCGCGAAGTTCGTCCTCTTCGTCTGGCTCTGCTGCGCGAGGGCGACGCCTTGCCGCCATGTTCGCAATCACGTTTCTAGGAGCTCCTGCTTGAGGTCCTTGTCTTTGCTGTTGTTGGTGCTGTGCAGGGGGGCGAAAGTTTTGATGCTGGGGCTGAGAATGACGAGCGTCTTGTCGGCCGACCCAATTGTTGTGGTGAGTAGAATTTGGGTGGCGATAGCTGGATCGGGATTTGCATCGATCCGTTGAGTGTCCGAAGACCTTGCATATTTTGCAATAGTGGCGCCTTGGTTGTCGTCGCTCTTCACGGTTGTCTGCGTAGAAGGCGAGGCGCTCTCGCCGCGGCGCGGAGCTTGTTCTGCTCGAGTCCATGTCCTGCTGTTCAGTCAGGAGAGCGGCGCATAGCGCGGCTTCAGAGATGATTCCGCGTTGTCGGAGTAGCGCTTTGCAGGGCTTGTACTCTGGCCCGAGTCCTTGGAGGACTATATTGACGAAAATCTCTTCTGAGATTGCGCTCCCATGCTTCGTGATCTGGTCACGGATGTTCCGACAGCGGTTAATGTAAGAATTTGCCTTCTCCCCGTGCCCCATCTTTGTCTCCATGAGTTGCTGCAGAAGCCTGCTGGCGGTGACCGAATCCTTCGGCTGATAAACGTCAACGAGGTGCTTCCAAGCTTCCAAGGCTGGAGCGGCGCTCTCTTTGTAGGAGCGAATGCTGAGTTGTTCCGCAGGCGTCATGTTGCGTAGCAGCACACTGTATGCCATGAGGGACTCGCTGTAGTACTGAGCCCTGGCGTCCTCGGTGTTTTCCACCGGTTTAGAGTAGCAGCCGTCGAAGTAATGGTAGACCTGCGCTGTCTGTAGGAGGAGCTCAAGCTCGAAACTCCATGTATAGAAATCTTTGCCGTCAAAAGCGGCAGTAGATTTGATATTTGAAACGCTTAGAAAGCGTGCTTGCGCAGAATTGATAACTTCATCACTTGGACGGGGGGCAGTTGTTGTTGATTTGTCTGTGTCGAGGGAGAAGGTGTGCGCGGCGGTATCGCGGCTTTTCGTAGCCGGTTGTCCAGGTTGAGCTGGTTGGGAAGAGGTTCCCGCATCGCCTTTTCGCAGTTCTTGGAGTTCGTTCTCCATAGTAGAGTGTCGAGCGAATAGCTGCTCGAGTGCGGCAGTGCCGATCGTAGTTGTCGCCTCATTTGTCGCAGCCGGGTTGGTTTGTCCTCCAGCCGTTAGATTTGCTTGGCCTCCGGATCCTCCGGCCATCTTGGTCTTGGAGCGTGTGCCGCTCGCCAGATCTTGGTTCGGCGAATTTCACGGAAGTGAAGTTGCGAAGAATCCCCGAGTAGCTCTCATACCATGTTACAATCCCAAGCGGGACTTAGCGAAGGATCGCTCAGGGTTGATCTCAGAGTAGTATTGCAGCGGAAGTTTGAATCTCAGGTCAGAGTGAATCAGGCCCTCAGATTCACTTTTAGGGTCGTCAACCCATCAGGGTCCCCCTGTGTGTAAACTCTGATTGACAGTGTTCCAAAAAAAAAAAGCCTGAAATGACAGTGTTGCGTTTGTAAAAAGCCTGATGCATCAGTGTTCCACTAGTAAAAAGGCTGTCACTAACGCGTCGCAGGTGATGGCAACGGGGCAGGATCCTTGGCAGCCCTCCAGCACCACATGGTGGCCAAGTTCGGATTGGCCAAGACTGACTGCTGCAGCGAAACGGCCCAATGGTGTGAGGCGCCGCGCCAACAAAACACCTCTGAACGTGAACCATAGGCAGAATTTCACTGGTTGGCCTCGCCACGGGGTGCTTACACCTGGGGAATCTGAGATTCCCTGTAATTGCAGTCAAATCCACACGGCACAGGTAAGAATCGCTTTCAGTGTTGGTTTCGTTACAACGTTGTGGCATCAATGTACTAGGGGGGAAAAGTCTGAAATTTCAGTGTGGCCTAACAAGAAAGGCTGAAAGATCAGTCCCTCAAAATTCTCAACACTGACTTTTCAGGGTAGGTAAAAAAAGGACTGCCAAAATCAGGAATTTCAGGGTTTTTTCCTGATATCTGAGGCCCTGGAGTGAATGTAAATGACTGAGTTGATAATAGCATGCATACATCGAGTTTATATAAGAATACAAGGTAATACGAAAAGACCTAGACTAGCCATGTACTCTAAGAGCGTGTTCCTACAGCCTCATATCAGGAAACCTCGTATCAATAATGCTGTTTTTCCCTGGTAAAACTAGCGAGAGGTTTTGGGTTTAGGGAAATTTTCAGTGTGAGCCTGATACGAGGTTGAATTGATACGAGGATAGGAACACGCTCTAAGGGGTACATTCCCTTATTGCAGCGAATTAAAACCGTGCGGTGCGGGAACCCGTTTCAAATCTGTTCCCGCTCTTTTCACTTCAAATGTTTCTGCCTGCATCGCTCTTGGTCAGACGGTTGCTGCGTCGCTTCGACTCTTCTGACTCCTCGACTTCGTACTCGGTAGAGTCGGCTCCTACAGCATACAGGAATGCCTTCTCATGTAATTTCATATCGTAACACATATGTACAGATTGAAAGCAAATCATAACCTGGAGACGTCACTGATTGTTAACTCAAAAGTATATCACAGTTTTTAGTGTATCTGTTGATTATTTGATTAGAAAGTGGTTGTCAAACGTACTTGGAGTGGACGTGTTGGATACTAAGGAAGTGTGAGAAAACTCAACTACATTTCTGCTGATTTGAGTGGTATTCATAGAGAGGCTGTTCTTAGTGCGGATTGACAATTTCTTGCTTCTCCCTTGTCACTGTCCGTATCACTTTCCAAGCTTCCCGCCATGGCTCGGAACCAAAGGGCAATGGTTTGGCGGCTAGGAAGTCCGGCATTCAAGCTGAGCACGCCAGAACCGAGCGAGCACGTTCGGGAACCCAAAAGCACGGGAACAAAAAATGTTCAGATGTAGACCCAAGCCACGTACCGCTTCAGCGGGAGGGGATTCGAAATTTTCGGCTGCTGGAGAGCTTTCCTTCACACAACCCATGCCTTCTCCTGCTTTACCGGAGTTTCGTGGGCGTCGCGGCGTTTTCGTGAAATTGGGCAAACATCGTAGACCCCGATCGTGAGCACGACCAACCGTTGCGCCCCACACCAACAGTCCAAACCAGGGCTCGTTGTTCGCCTTGGTGGAGCAAGTGAGTCCAGCACCACCCCTGTTTGTTTCCACCTCCGCAGCGCGCTCCACGCGTCGCTGTTCATTTGCTCGTTTGCCACTGTCCCCTTGATCGAAATTCAACAATATCTAGGTTGCAACTGACATCATAAAAACCAACCAGCAGCCCCACTTTTCTCCATCACAATTTCATCGCTCTCCTTCACTGAAGCATCAGCCAGCTCGTCTCTCGCAGCCTCCACACGCGGTCATCATCAGTCGCCCTTCCAGTCTCATCACCCTTACTCAAATCACAGCAGCAGTTTTCGCAGCTGTACTGAGCAATTCGCAAGGCATCGTTCCGCGAGCCATCGCAAAGAGATGGCTGTCGCACTCCACAACTCCAACATGAGCCGCGCAATCTTCCTGGCGCCCCTTCTCGTGGTGCTCGTCCTGCTTGCGGGGTGTGCAGCAGCAGCCGCGTCGCAGCAATCCAGCGTACGTTTGCTGCCTCTCACATCCAAGCACCGTGTTTGCATACTCGTTTAGGTCGAAGAACCACCGTAACACTCGACACCAACTTCAAGTTGAAGCAAACAGCCTCGTTCCGAAGACGTCGTCCGCTTTTGCTCACATCCCGCTCTTGTTTCTTCTCCTACTCTTCCTTTCTCTGCTCTTATATTGCAGCGGCTGCGAGGGAGGTCGTTGGCGGCTTTCAATGCCCTGGAAAAGAACTCAACACGGGTAAGCTGTCCTTCACACCCGAAAGCACCTCCTCATCGCTCATGACAATTACGACTCGATGAATCTTCTTCGTCGTCCGCTTGTTGCGATCCAAAGCCATCTGCCTCCACCTCGCTTTTGGTTCCACCTCTATCCGCTTTTCCTTTCGGCCCCCTCTAACGTGGGTGATTTTCCTGTACGTCTTTGCAGCCGGTCAAAACCCCTCTCGACGACATGAAAGAGAAGGGCGAGGGGTCAGGAAGCAACGGGAACGGCGGGGGAGCTTCCAACCACGACCAAGAAGCAGACGACGAGGCTGACGCATCGTCAAGCGTTGACGACACCAACGAGGGCGAAAACGATTCCGACTCGTCGTCCCAGGACGACACGACTCTCGACGACTCGCACGCCCAATCCAGCCAGCCCACGCCGCAGCCCCCGCCGTCCGAGGGTTGCCCCACGACCCCTGACGTATGCAGCTTCGTGTTCAAGGGCTACGAGGACTCGATCCCCGTGTTCCCGCTTCCCAAGACCGCCGACTCCCCGATCGGCACCACCATTGAAGGCAACGTGAAGGGCAGCTCGATCGTCGTGCGCACGCTCAACTCGCGCGACGCGCAGTACCCGTGCACGAAGAAGACCGGCTTGGAGAAGCTCAAGGACCAGTTCTACGCCGTCAACGATGTGAGCCTACTACCTGCATGTTGCAGCAGCTGTTGTTCTGCGGTTGTTTTCCTGATTCCTCTCCTCGTGTGCTCGCCTCTCCTCACTCAGTTTTCTGCGGTTGTTTTCCTGATTCCTCTCCTCTTACCGCTCATTTTCTTTTCTCATCCCTCCTCTCCTTTCTCGCTCACCCCTAAACCCGTTGCGCTGCTCCAGGTGATCCAAGTGCGCACCATCCAGTCCGACGAGGACAGGAAAAAGCTGAGCGGGGAGATCGTCAGGGTGCAAATCTCGGGCGCGGCCATCGACGTGTTCAACCAGCTCTTCAACCTCAACCCCGGCGATGGCTCCACGTCCTTCCCCGAGGAGAAGCGCTGCGTCGTCTTCCAAGTCGAATAGACCAGCCGCGTCCGCGCGTTACATGATAATTTATTAATACTGGCGCTGCAAGGAGCGGGCTGGCTGAGCACCGGCCACGCCACCATTTATGGCGGGGAGTAGGATGTGGGTTATAGAGCCGAGGATCCTACTCTGATACCTGTCCCCCAATGGTGTGTTATACATGCCGGGTGGTAGTGGCGAACTTCTAGCAACAGTAGGCTCATCTAGTAGAGAGCGTAGCTACTAATAGGAATATGGTAGTTACCTGTAGGCTAGGCTAGGCATGAGACCTCATCCATGAGTCTAAATTCATTTTTCCGAATAATAAAGCTTTGCAGCCAATAAATTTAATTTTGTCTGGTCATCTTGAGTCATTGACTGCGTGATGGTTCTATCGGTCAATCAAGGCTGCGTCCTCTTTCAGACTACTAGTCTTTGTTGCACTGGTCTGTTGTACTACTTCCCACGATGTGAGGAAAAACACATGCTACCTTGTGAGTATAGTAGATCATATGAGTATATCTTCTTGCAGTATATCTTTGTTGCACTCGTCTGTTTTCTCCGTGCCTTCAGTGTGGAGTTCACGTAGGAGTATGTCTTCTTGATCAGCAAAAGTAGAACATACCGTATGATGTTATTACACTGTACCACCAGCTTCTGTCGAACATGCGAGATCATGCGACTTGCACAGGCCAGTGCCACCACCGCACCGCCACCAGCCACCTCTTCTGTTCCCTGCCCACGCGTCGGGATTTTGTAACCAGACAGCAAATGCCACTTTCGTCTTCCACTGAAACGCTAATCCTGTTACCACAACTCAGGGTTGTTGCTCTTTTTTTTGCCCGTGGCGAGTTTCAACGAGCAATTGTTCCCACCCTGAAAGCGAGTGTGCCGCAATGAGTACAGTAAAAAAATCACAAAAATTTGGGTCTTAGATAATTGTTTAGATATTTAGTGTACATAACATAGAGCAGCTTTTGAAGGCGCGTAACTTTTTCACTTTCCATCGTCCGGACGGAGGCCCCGTCCGGACTTTTGTCGGGTTACTTATTTCGCCAGAATTCGTTGGGAAATTCGCAAGACCTCCTGCGACGTCGCTACCGTCACACCGTCCGAACGGCATTTCGGACCGTTCGTTTCGGCTGTGCTATCATTGGCGCGCGAAGTGGGTGATAACCACAACCAATACCGCGTCGCGGACGTTTTGTGGCGAAGTTTGCGAGTGTTGTACGAATTTGTAATGCGTGTTACGTTTCGTAGTGAAATTTATTTTCCGGAAGTGCAAAAAAGTTTCACATTTGTGGTCCGGACGGGCAGTCGTCCGGACCTGATTCCCAAACGTTCGGACGGAGCTCCGTCCGGCCGGTTTGGGGGTTCCGTCCGAACATTTGACGAAAACAGAAAAATTTACACGCCCTAATGAAACGCTTGTGACCGTGCTTTCAGATCTTTTCACCACCCACCACTCCCAAATTTGTCCGCAGTGAGTAGGCTTGCTAACATCTTCCACAACCATCGCTTCGCGTCATCGTCAATCCGCTTCGCGCATTATTATGGCACTTGGAGGAGTTATAGATCTCAGGGCAATCCATAGGCCGCTGTGCTTTGTATGAACACTTGTGCAAGTGTCATTCGGCAGACCGTAGACGCATCATGGCTGGAGGTGATCGAACGGCTGAATCTACTCCCGTTACTCTTCTTCCCGAGTCCAGCGGCGGCGGGGATACCAGCAACCCTTCAACACCCGCCTCCTCCGCGAACGCCGCCGCAACCTTCGGCGTGCCTCTCTCCTCGCTGCGCTTGCCCGGCCTCCAGTCCCTGATTCTGCTCTCCGTCGTCGCGTACGCTGCCGTGATTGGTTTCTCGCTCTCCGTGTCGCTTAATCTCCCCGCCACTACCGCACAGCTCGAAGCGCCCAGCGGCAGCCACGTGGGCGTTTCGAGCGCCGATAGCGACGGCACTGGCGCACGCGTGAATCGCGGAGGAAATTCGATTACCATTGGTGAAATCCTCCGCGAACCATGGCGGTTGATCTTCCCCGGTGAGGGCGGGGCAGGCCCGTTCAATCCACGGCTGGTTTCTGAGCGGACGGATAGCCCGGGAGAGGGGGGCAGGCGGTGGGGGAAGGCGGGCGCGCAAGACCGCACATTCGTGCTTGGGGGGGGCCAGGGGGAAGCGGAGAAGACGGGGGAAGGGGGAGATGCGGACGACGCGGATGGCGCGGGGGGGGCGCGGGAAGGGGGGAGGCATGCGGTGGGGGGGGAAGCGGGAGAGGACGCAGACTGGAGCGACGAGAAGGGGCTGTTGCAGCAGTTGATGTCACTGGCGGAAGATGACAGTGAGCGGGGCGGGCGGGAGGGGGAGATGGCGGACGAGGCGGAGGGGGACGGGGAGGAGGAGCGATGGCGCGGCAAGGAGGAGGAGGCGAGGGAGAAGGAGAGTGAGCTGGAGCCGCTGAAAGTGTTCCTGCTGCCTCTCACCCGGGAATACAACTTTGGCATGCTGCAGGTAAGGCTCGACTCGACTATGTGTTGCTGATGCCTCCCACTCTCCTCATATCCCTCCCAACCCAACGTCTAGTCATTCTCTGCCTTGCCGTGCCTTCTCTCCCACAAGCTTGCTCACACATCCACGCTCTCCCCCACCCCACCTCCTCCCCTCCTTCCGCCCGCCCTTCCCTCCCTTCTTTACCAGCAATTCGCGGATCAGGGACACTGGCACAACATCTTCCTGCCACGTGGCATGCCTGCGTCATGGCTGGCTGTTGCTCCCTCTACACCCTCCTCCCCCTCTTCCCCTTCCTCCCCCTCGTCCTCCTCCTCCTCTTCTTCCTCCCCGTCCTCCCCCTCTTCCTCTTCCTCCCCTTCCTCCACATCATCGCGCATCGCTGCTTTGGCATCCGCCCCCCTCTCGCCCTCTGTCTCCTCCCCTCCTCCCCCTTGGCCCTCCGCATCGGATTCTCCCAATGACGTGCCTCTTCTTCTCACTCCCCTCAACACTCTCACCGTCATGCGACCTGCTGCTCCTGCTGCTGATGCTTATGGCGCTGATGGTGCTGCTGATGCTGGTGGTGCTGATGGTGCTGATGGTGCTGATGGTGCTGATGGTGCTGATGGTGCTGATGGTGCTGATGGTGCTGGTGGTGCTGGTGGTGCTGGTGGTGGCAACAGCGGGGTGGCAACTTCAGCTGTGGGTGCGGTAGGGGTTGTGAATGAGTCAGGGGATAACAGCGAGAGGAGTATCGAGGAGGAGGGGGAAGAGAAGGAGGAGAAGGAGGGGGGTGAGAAGAATGAGAAGGAGGAGAAGGAGGAGGAGGAGGAAGAAGGGGAAGAAGGGGGACGAGAAGCAGTAAGGAGAAGGTTGCTGGGTGAAGGACTGGATGGGAGAGCATCAGGGGCCGTGGGCATAGCGGTAGCATCAGCAGGCGGTACAGGGGGTACAACTCAGGAGGGAGAAGAGAGCGTGCTAAATGACGCCAGACTTGTGATGGACCAGAAAGCAGGGAGCGGAATAATAGCAGCAGCAGCAACAGCCACAGCAGCAGCCACAGGGGGAGCAGCAGCAGCAGCAGCAGCGGGCAGAGGCGATGGTAGTGGTGGGGCGAATGCTGCTGGCGGGGGTGCAGGGAGTGCAATCATTGACTTGGGCCCGTGGGTGCGTGGTGGCAGCACGGCCAGCATTGCACGCTACTCTGACATGCCTTATGAGCTGCAGCACAGCGCAGAGTACTGGCTCACTCTCTCGCTCCTCACAGGCACGCTCCCTCCCTCGCCCCTCTCGCCCCTCTCCCCTTTCCCCTCTCTTCTCTTTCTTCCCTCTATCCCCTCTCTCCTCTCCCCTCTCTCTCTCCTCTCTTCCCAATACTCCTTGATTTTCATTCCTTGTCCGCACACAACCCCCCACGCTCCCCATTCCATGGTTCTATGGCCCATGCATGCCTGCTCATGCTCATGCTCATGCTCATGTGCGTGTGTCATGCCTGCTGCCTGCCTGCCTGCCTGCCCGCCTGCCTGCCTGCGTGCCTGCCTTCCTTCTCTGCGTGCCTGCGTGCCTGCCTGCCTGTGTACATGTGCGTGCAGGTGTACCGAGTGTGGAGGTGGTGGGGGAGGAGCAGCAGGCAGACGTGGTGTTTGTGCACTTCTTCTCCTCGCTCGCACTCCTGCACACCTCACTCAACCACTCCTCCTGGGCGCACTTCAAGTGAGCCTCTTCCACGTATGATGACCAGACCAGCCGTGCTTCCGGTCTCCATGCCTTCATGCCCATCCCCATTCGCCCCTCCTGCCTGCCGCACGCCCCATCAAAAGCATCGCCTCGGCTGACACGGGCTACAGCAACAATAATAATGCATCTCCTTCTTGCCATGCCATCCAAGCTCGCACTCCCACTCCCACCTGCACGCCCTCACTGCAAACCCCCTCCTTGCCCAGCGCCCTGCAAGATCGGCTGCGTCGCGGCATCACAGGCAGCAGCGCGTGGGTGAGGCACGGCGGACGCGGCTTTGAGTTGTGAGACGTGTTTAGAGACGTGCTAAGGCGTGCTTTGGGACGTCTCAAATCCCACTGCCACCCCTCCTTGCCCAGCGCCCTACAGGAGAGGCTGTACCGTGGCATCACAGGCAGCAGCGTGTGGGTGAGGCAGGTTGGGCGCGGCTTTGCGTTATGGGACGTGTTTTGGGACGTCTCAAATCCCACTGCGACCACCCCCCCCCTCCTTGCCCAGCGCCCTGCAGGAGCGGTTGTACCATGGCATCACAGGCAGCAGCGCGTGGGTGCGGCGGGGCGGGCGCGGCTTTGTGTTCCCTGCAGGGCACCCTCTCAGCCTGGACCCCATCGTGCACCGCCTCTCACACGCCACCTTCCTCGCCGCTGATTTCTGCTTCCAGCCTTACCAGGTGCGCACTGCACTGCACTGCACCGCACTGCACTGCACCGCACTGCACTCTGCGCCTGCCGTTTGCTCTCTGCTGCACCGCTCCGCTCCACTGCCCTGCCCCACCTTTGCCCTGCCCTGCACTGCCCTGCCCTGCCTTGACCTGCACTGCCCTGCCCTGCCCTGCCTTGACCTGCACTGCCCTGCCCTGCCCTGCCTTGACCTGCACTGCCCTGTCCTGCCCTCCGTCTCCTCCTCCCATGCCTCCACCACTTCACACCGTGCTGCGTGTGGCCGTCCCTTCACCCCTGCCCGCACGGCAGGTGATGAGGAGCAGCAAGGATGTGATAGTGCCGTACGTGCCAGTGGTGAGCGGGTACTAGGAGGACCTGGGGGGACTTCACGGTGCTGAACGTGCCTGCACTTCCGCCCTTTGCCACAAAAGCCCTTGCTGGCACGGCAGGTGATGAGGGGCAGCAAGGATGTGGTAGTGCCGTACGTGCCAGTGGTGGGCGGGTACACGGAGGACCCGGGGGACTTCACCTGCCGCCCCAGACTCCTTTTCTTCCAAAGCCACCTCCTCCTGCACATCCACCCGTGCCCGCACGGCAGGTGATGAGGAGCAGCAAGGATGTGGTAGTGCCGTACGTGCCAGTGGTGAGCGAGTACAAGGACGACCCGGGGGACTTCACCCGCCGCCGCACACTCCTTTTCTTCCAGAGCCATCTCCTAGCTCGCTCCCATGTATGTTCTGGCTCCAAGCCTTGGAGTGGCTCTGCTCTCGGGGGCTCGTGCATGGTTTGGTTTGTTTTGTTTTGTGAGTCGTGTTTTAAGTCGACTCAAAACTCGGGGGCTCGTGTGTGGTTTGGTTTGGTTTGTTTTGTTTTGTTTCACCGTGCAGGCTCACTGTGTTTTTCTTGTACCATGTGGTTGTTTCATTCGTCGTGCCATTCCCTGTATTGTGACAGGGCAGGGCACAGGTGCATGCATCCCACAGAGAAGGTTCCTGCATTGCACAGCATTGTCAACAGGCCATGCCACAATCGCCCTTGAGTGTGATCACACACGTCTCTCCTCCTCCTCCATTCCCCTCCCACACTATGTAACATCTACACGCACACACGCACACACGCACACACGCACACACGCACACACGCACACACGCACACATGCACACACGCACACACGCACACATGCACACACGCACACACGCACACACGCACACACACACACACACGCACACACGCATGCATGCGGGCATTCACCCGAATCCACATCCCCTTGACCTCAAGCACTCCCTCTCCCGTCCGCCCCTTCGCTCTGCCTCACTCCTTCATCTCCTCCCTCTCCTCCCTTCCCCGTCTCCCCGTCACCTGGTATCCCCCAGGGCTACTGGCTGAGGCAGCGGGTGCACGAGGTGCTGGCGGGGGAGGCAGCAGTGACGTTCACGGCAGTGGCGGTGTTCAACGAGCAGGCGAGGGCGTCCAACCAGGCGCTCATGCGCTCCTCCAAGTACTGCCTCGTGCTTGAAGGTGCGCCCACATGCCTTGCCATGCCGTGCCGTTCCGTGCCGTTCCGTGCCGTGCCGTGCCGTGCTGTGCCATGTTGTCAGAGCCGGGTGTTTCTGCCACTTCGTCAGCTGCTGTTGTTGTTGCTGGCTCTGCTGCTGCCCCTGCTGCTGCTGCTGCTGCTGGCTGCAATACCAGCATTTTTCCCCTCCTAACTAACAGCACACCCTCTTCTATCATTGCCCACTCCCACCACCCACCACCCCACCAGGCGACACGTCCTCGTCGGGTCGGCTGTTTGACGCGGTGGTGAGTGGGTGTGTGCCGGTGATAGTGTCAGACGCCCTTGACCCGCCCTTTGAGGACCGCCTCGACTACACGCGCTTCTCCCTGCCCGTGCCCGCCGTGCTGGCCGCCCGTCGAGGCTTCCTGGTGCGCTATCTCAGGCAACGAACTGCCGCTGAGTGGCACTCGCTGTGGCTGCAGCTGCGCAACGTAAGCACAAGCACCCTCTTGTTTGTTTCTGCTTGTGTGTGCGCGAGTGTGTGTGATTTTTTCTTCTCTGTGTCTCTCTTTCTGCTTTTCTTCCGTACCTCTGCATACCGTATTGACTTTGGATGCCTAACTTTTCTCACTTGCTGCATGTATTAGGTTCGCAAGCACTTCATTTTCGGAAGCCCTGACCGTGCCTGGAGCCCGGAGAATCTCATATGGCAAGGCGTGCGCGCGAAGGTCCACAACCTCACATTCACCCAGAACCGCCGCAGGCGAATCCAGCGGCTTAGGTCGATACTGCAAGAGAATAAAGTGTCTGTATCTGCTTTGATGGATCGCCCTCGCGGGAACTTCGCAAATAAATGAACAAGTTATGGAATAAATGGGGAAGCTTCGGGGCCTGCCTGTTAGCACAACACATCCATTCCCATGTGAAGGATGTGATGATGTGGTGGTAACTGGTGCGTGTTGGAAAAGTGGACACTGCTGCAAGCCGCATCCGCTTATTTGCTGAGCATTCATTAAAGTGGTTTGTTGCAATGTTTGTTTTAGGCAAGATTGCTTTGGGTTGTGGTTGCTCACTTTGGCTTATTCCCTTCTTGAATGGTTGCTTAAATTGAAGTACCGTGAAGTACCGCACCACTCCATATCACAGGTAGAGTAATGAATGCAACTTGGAAGAGACTAGGGGTAGTCTGATCTACTTTTGCGGACTGAGTGGTGTTGGGCTGAGAAAAAGCCCTTAGGAACTTTGCAGGACTAAACTCTGGGTAGGAACAATGTAATAGCGGAAGCGTTTAATGATGAGCCTATGAACCACGTTGCGCTGGTATGTGAGGGCGAAGTAGATTGATTAATAAAAGAGATACAAGGCTTTTATAAGAATACAAGGAATATGAAAAGATGCAACTAATAACTGTTTTACTGTTTGCTGTTGCGGTTCGATACAGAAACGACTCGGGCAACTGCTCGATAACGAGTCAGTTGTTTGTCCTTGCTGTCGCGCTGTACTTGTCAGGTCAAAGGTCGCTGACCTTTGACTTTCGCGTAACCTCCAGCAGTTGCTCAACCTCCGAGGGTTGACTCGCTGATGCTTCGCTGCGTTTCGCTTCGTTTATGACTTAGTGTTTCGACGCGAGAGGGGCGCTTAAATCACTTGTTTCCAACACTCCCCTTCGCTTCTGGAGTGTCGCTGCTGGTGACGTGGCTCTGCCCAGTCAGCAGCATGCAGTACTCGAACTTCTGCTTCCCGAGCTTCTTGGTCAAGTAATCAGCTGCCATCTCAGACGTGGGGCAGTAGGACAGCTCGAGACTGCCCTTCTCGATCTCGTCTTTTACGAAGAAATATCGCAGGGCGATGTGCTTCGTCCTGCTCGCGAATCCATTTTTGTTGGCTATGCGAATTGCTGACTGGTTGTCGCAGAACAGGGAGAAGCTGGGTAACTGAGCCAGCTTTTCTTCCTCCAGGAGTTCGCAAAGGTACAGTCCTTCCTTGGTGGCTGAGCAGAGTGCGATATATTATTATTCAGCCGAGGAGAGGGCGATCAACTCCTGCTTGCTCGACTGCCAGGAGATGGGTCCGATAGGTTCGAAGCGATAGATGTAGCCGGTGCGCGAGCGCCTGTTGTCTGAGTCGCCGGCGTGATCGGCTTCGACGTAGCCGATTAACTTAGGTGTCGAGGTTCCGTTCTTGTGATAGGTCAGGCCGATCGTCGGAGTGCTAACGAGGTAGTGAAGAGCGCGGTCGAGCTCCGCCATGTGTTCTGCTTCAGGCTTTTTGAGGTAGGTGGCGAGTTGACTCACAGAGTATGATAGATCCGGACGGCAGGTGACGGCCGCGAAGAGGAGGCATCCCAGCTTTCTCTGGTAGTCGCGTATGCCGGCGGGCTTGAGTGGAGCGGAGCTTTCCTTACGATTTCCGACGGTGTAGCGATATGGCGTGGAGATAGTGGTCGGGGTGAGGCCGAAGCGTTTGGCGATGGTGTCAGCGTATTTCGCAGCGCTGAGATAGATCGCGTTATTTTCTTCCTGAATGTTGAGGCCGAGGTATTGCGTGATGGTGGATGAAACCGTGAGAGTGAGATCCTGCTGCAGCTCCCCTTTGAACCAGGTAGTGACGCTATTGGTCGAGCCGATGTAGAGTAGATCATCTACATAGACGATAAGCAGAATGTAGTCGTTGTCAGAATGAGAACGAAGGAATGATTGGACTAGCAAGCCGTTTGGTACAAGTAGGAAACCTAGAAGTGTTGTACCCTATATTGACTACCCCACTACAGCCTAAACAGACTATAGCAAATAAGTTTGACACACCCCCATAGGCAAAGTGGGGGAGAACAAGAGGTCACAAGACCGGTCAAGAGAGGCAAAGCAAGCTCAGGGTGGATCACGACGTCACCACGCATTCCGAGCACAAGAAAATGGCCACAAGGCCAGTTCACATGCAGAGTTATATAAAGGAGAACAAGCAATACAGTGATCACAACCTAGCAAGTGTAAGCATGCAGGTATATGTATAGAGATCACAGTACAAGCAGAGTCAAGAAGTAAGCAAGTGAGGCACAGTAGGCACAAGGCCTAGAACAGTACAGAAACGCTGATGATCAGAAGGCTGGAGTGTCTTGGTGAAGACATCAGCAGTGTTGGCCTGAGTGGCCACGTAAGCAAGACGAAGCTGACCACGCTGCTGCAACTCTCGAGCGAGGAAGTAGCGCAGAGCGATGTGCTTCGTTCTGTGCTCCAGTCTGTGCTCCTGACACAAGGCAATCATGGCCTTGTTGTCGACGTACAGCACTGGAGGAGAACGAGGTAGAACTCCCAGGTCGGTCAGCAGGTAGGTGAGCCAGCGTAACTCCTGTGCAGCCATGGCCCCTGCGTAGATCTCAGCCTCACAGCTGGAGCTGAGAACAGAAGAAGAGCGGGTAGACCGCCAAGAAACAGAGCCGGAGCCAAGGCTGAAGGTGTAACCCTGTGACGACCGCTGCGTAGCCAAGTCGTCAGCCCACGAAGCATCTGCGAGACCAATGAGGACAACTCTAGCCCGTCCTCCAAGCACGAGCCCCATGCCCGACGTACTGCACAAGTAGCGCAACACCCTCTTAGCGGCATCCATGTGCTTCTTCCGGTGACGGCCAGGAGCGACATAGCGTGCCAGGATGCTAAGAGGGTATACAAGGTCAGGTCGAGTGCAGGTCATCAGGTACATGAGGCAGCCCACAAGCTCTGGATACAGGCCACTCGGCTCTACGGACTCATCCGAAGGTGGAGCTGAGAGCGAGTGACCGGTAGGCAGAGGAGTGGACTGTGGCGAGGAGTACGTGAAGCGGAAGCGCTAAAGGACCTGCTGCACCATGTGTGACTGAGTCAGGGTAATGGTGTGCTGTGCTCTGTCCCGGGTGATCCGCAAGCCAAGATAGCTTGTCAGCTCACCCAGGTCTGTGCACGTGTGTCTCTTCTGCAGCTCCGACTTCACGTGGGCGAGTCCCTCAGTGTCAGAAGTAGCAAAGACCAAGTCGTCTACGTACAAGAGAACGTAGAACGGCTGCAGAGTGGTGTCGGTGCGTAGAAACAGCGACGGGTCAGCAGTAGAAGGAGCAAACCCAAGAGCAGCAAGAGTAGTCCTCAGTGTGTCGTGCCACTCAAGGGGTGCCTGGCGGAGACCGTAGACTGGCCGCCAGAGGCTCCACTGGGTACCAGCAGGAAACGACCCAGTGAAGCCAGGTGGGCGGCGCAGCCAGATCTCCTCGTGCAGGCTGCCCTGTAGGAAAGCAGTGCTGAAGTCAAGAGAGTGAAGCTCGTAGTCACGCTGAGCGGCGACGTGCAGCAGAACCCGAAGAGTGGTCATCTTCGGGGTAGGGGAGAAGGTCTGGAAGAAGTCAACTCCCTCTCGCTGACTGAAGCCTCGTGCAACGTAACGCGCCTTGAAGACAGGCGGGGAACCCGGCGGCTGCTTCACCCTGAAAATCTACATGCCACTGACGATGTTCGCCCCAGGTGGGGGAACCTCGTCGCCGTAGGTGCCTGTGGACTTCCAGGAAGCCATCTCTGCGTCCATGGCTGTCTGCCACTGAGAGGAGTAGGGACCCTCTATCGCCTCTGCGTAAGAGCGCGGGGTCGGGATGTCTGGTGCATCCGGGTCTCCCTCAGGGGCAATCAGCATGGAGACGAGATGAGGTAAAGCAGCGGCAAAACACTCAAGGTCCTCCTGCCTGTCCTCAAGTACGTCCGTGCCAAGAGCACACTCACCCCCGACGGACGGAGGACAGACAGACTCAGACTCAGCAACAAGACTAGCGGCGTAGTCTAGACGACAGGCGGCAACAAATTCAACAAGCTCAGCAACTAGAGCAGACGCAGCAGTGGACTCAAACGAAGGGTCAGTGACAACAGTGGCGAGGAAACGCGTGACAGTGGGACTAGCAGCACAAAGGGAGTCAGACTCCGGGTCCGGACCGTCAGGAAGAGAGGACGCAGGAGGAGACGACAGAGGAACACGCTGTGGAGCAATGGAAGGACGCAGAGTCATATAGTGAGTGCCAGGGACAGGAGGAGGACGCTGACGCGGAACACGACCAGTGCGGACAGCGCGAACAGGCAACTCAGGACGAGACTCAGGCGACGCAGGACGAGACTCAGGCGCACGACGCTCCGTAAGACCTCTAGTCGGTCCAGAGTAAGGAGAAGGACCAGGCAGTGGAGAGGCTGGCAGTAACTGCGACTGCGACTGGACAGGCGGTGGACTCAGTAAGGGAGGAGGAGGAGGACCAGTAGAAAGTGGTAGGCCAAGAACCTTCTGAAGGCGGAACGTAGTACAGCCGCGGCCGCGTAGCACCTCCAGAAACAGCAGAGACAGCACCAGTACACTCTGCTCCAGGGTCTCCAGCTCCAACTCCCGCAGCACCACCAGCCGCACCAGCTCCAGCAGCACCTCCAGCAGGAACAGCTCCAGCACCTCCAGCTCCAACTCCTGCAGCACCACCAGCCCCAGCAGCTCCAGTACCTCCAGTACGAGCACCTCCGGGACCAGTGGCTCCAGTACCTCCAGCAGCTCCAACACCAGGAGAGCCTCCAGCAGCGACAGTACCTCCAGCACGAGCTCCTCCAGGACCAGCAGTACCTCCAGCTGCTCCAGTAGCTCCAGCACCAGCAGCACCTCCAGTGGCTCCAGCAGCACCTCCAGCGGCGCCAGCACCTCCAGCGGCTCCAACACCAGCAGGACCTCCAGCAGCGCCAGTACCTCCAGCAGAGCCAGTACCTCCAGCACGAGCACCTCTAGAACCAGCGGCTCCAGCAGCTCCAGCACCAGCGGTACCTCCAGCTGCTCTAGTAGCTCCAGCACCAGCAGCACGGCTACAGCGGCGAGCGTACCACTCACGCAGCTGCTGTGGAGAGAGGGGCTCCCGCCGTGACGAGACACCCGAAGGACCTCCAGACACAGCACGCTCAGGCACAGCACCCCCAGACTCAGCACCCCCAGGCTCAGCACCCCCAGGCTCAGTACGCTCAGGCTCAGCACCCCCAGGCTC